ACTATGCCGCGCGCGTTTGTACGCACTACGCAACGAACAAGTTGATGCCGAGTCTGCGATTTTGTATAGAGAATAACTATGAATCTAGCTACTCTGGCATCGCGTAGATCGTCTCTCTATCTAGCAGGATAGCGCAGAATAACTCGCTTTCCTCCTATGAGTACCCTCTAGCCTGAAAGACGTCGACGACGTCCTAGGAGCGCTTCTTATCCTGCTTACGAAGGCGTTTATTGCTAGCCTCTTCTTTATCTTCTCGTACGCGCTTACGTACGGCTAGTAACTTAGTCTAAAGCACTCTAGCCCTAGAATCGACTACGATAAAGCCGCGTGTGAATAGACGCTGGGCTTTGCGTAGAGAGCGAGTTAGTTTATGACTAATAGACGCGTTTAGAGTCGTTAGCGAGGCGATATCTATTAGCGTCCTAAGCGTACGCACGTCCTAAGACTTAGAACGCTCCGGGGTAGTTAGTCTAGCCTATCTATAGGCTATAACCTCTAGTTTATTAAGTACTCTATTAGGTGCGATCGGCTAGAGGCCACTTCTACGCCAGCCTATAGAGATATATTACCTAGTAAAGCCCTATTAACGCGTACGATAATAGAGAACGTTAAACTAGGCGCGTAAGACTTAAGACTCGCCTACTAGAATAAATTCCTTAAGGTTTTAAGCGTAGTAAGCCTTAAGGCGACTAAATAGGCCTAAATCGCACGGCTAATAGAGATACGACGTATAAGGTAGTAGATAAACGAGCGTAATCTAGTTTACGAGGCAGAGATAGATAAACTCGCCTATTACGTAACTTCCGTAGCCATCTAGAATAAGAAGTCGCTAGTACGAGGCGTCGTCTTAATAACGCCCTCGGCGACTCTTAGGAATAAATATCTCTTTTAGCCACTCGAGAGCGTACTTATTCGTCGTCTAGCCTCTCTCTATAAAGCCCTAACGCTAATTAGGGCACTTAGGCGATAATGGAAACTAGCAGTTAAGCGGTTAATTTAGTAGCCTACTACGATAAATAACTAAGGGCTTTATAGCGTCGTCCGCGGCGGAGATATACTCTAGGACCGAGACCTAGCCTATAGAACTACTCGCAATTAAGAGAGGTAGCCCCGTACGTCGATCAAAGACTATAGACTCCTTCTATAAGTGGCTCATTTAAAAGCCTATCTCGTCTATATTCCAGATATTCTTCGGCAGAATCTAGAAGCGTCGTACGACTTTAGAAAGGTACGTAAACTAGCCGTCTAGTTAATAAGGAATAGTAGCCTAGATCCTACTAGCGTCGAGCGCTCTATTACGCGCACAACTTAACTTAGGTCGTCGCTTAATAAAGCGAGAGACCTAGTATATACCGAGCCTAACGAAGGGGTGCCTTTAGCGCGCGAGATCCTGCGCAACGCGCGCCAGTTGCGTACGATTAACTAGCGTATATTATAACTATAGGTCTCGAATATATATAGCTAGAACATCTTCCTATTGCCGCGTAAGATTTGCGTACGAGACCTCTTCTTGTCCTTTAGGTCTCGCGCCGTTGGCGCGGTCGCGTACAGTTAATCTTAAGGCGCCTGCGTAGAGCGCCGCCTATCGTACAGTCTTTACGACACTAGAATCGAGTGTAACGAGAGCCTGGCTAGCAGGATCCATAACGACGACGTGGTAGAAGATCAATTAGTAGAGGAATACGAAGGTTTTGTTGACAGGTGGGTAGTAGGGGCGCGTGCTACGCGCTATGGCGGGATCCTGGTGGTGGCGGGAAGGTGGTAGCCAACCTTAGTAGTGAGATGATTGGCGCCACTTAGGTGTGAAGACGGCGCCTATTGGTGCCGAGATAGGGCTTGATTCCGTCAACATCATGCATTATTGTACCTAAATTTTCAAGATAAATTGCCACCACAAAGTTTACGGCACCTTGACGGAGTAGTTAACGTGCTGCCCTGCTATCGGTGAATCAATTTCGCTGGAGCTGATCAGGCAGTTCCTTCGGGAGCGCAGGTGCAAATCCTGCAGGTGTCGAGTTATTTTTTGCACCTTCTTGATTAAATGGATTTTTGTTTTCTGGTACGAAATGCCATGACACAAACACCGCGACGAAAGGGCTGTAAGGGGTCTCCCTTATCAATACTTTTTTTCACCATGGCTACGCTTTGGCTATCTCCGAGTCCCCAGCTTTACCGGTCTCTTGAGCACTCCTTGACATAATTATGTTGTTAAGGCATACCTAGCAGGTTCTTCGGTAGATAGAGTGTTGAAAATCCCAACTCCCCAAACGACCCTGAGCGGTTGGCCTCTGGCTGTGAATCTGGCCTCTTATTGCTCGAGTTCTAGCAAGTACCTACTAGGCGAATAGACACTGGACTAGTAACAGTTAACGTTGTGATTAGCCGTGTCGTGCCCCTGGCTAACAACATCATTGAACGGAACTTCACTTGGCTTGTTTCTCCTGCCACGCTCCGCTATTACTCGGCACCATCTTGACTATTTCACTATCTACTCTAGTACTTCCGAGTCTTCTAGGTCCATGTTGAGCAGGGATAGATAAACAAGAATCTGGAGCAGCCTTCTCCCAGTCCAAATCCCCGCCCTCGCCTATCTCCTAGATCAGTACGACAACGACAACCACGTCCCTCCTTGCTGCCTCCTCGCAATTGTGCCTCGCGACCAGCTGGCCTTGTCTACGCTACTCTTTCGTCAATCGCAGCAGCAGTTTTCAATTCCTGGACGCCGGCGTCCGCAGGCAATGCGACTGGCGTAGCGCGTATACCCAGCTTTAGACGAGTCCTCGAACGCCCAAGCTGAATGTTGAACTCAACTGCGGACAACTTGAACCTCCTCCGTTGCACAAGGCTGAAAAAGCCATGAGCGCGACTTTCACGTTGCCGGTGTCTGCCACCGACAGTTGCAAACATGACCAACCTCATACTCCCACGCATTCTCGATCTCATTCCCACACGCCGTCCAGATCTCACCAACGGCATCGAACGGGAAGCCGACTGACCACACCCTTTCCGCTGGCGCGGATACCGTCCGAGTCAGTCGTAAATCAGAGCGATATGAACCGGCCGCCTGCCGTTGATACAAGCGTCCATCGACACAAGCACGTCAGCCCTGCGCCCTTACTCGATCTTTCAGGTGATCAGTTCGTGCCCAAAAGGAGGAACACAGAAGCAAAAGCATATTCAGACCGGCCTGCATTCCACCGCAGTTTCTCTAAACCGACACAGCTACTATTGCAGACCACTGAGAACTACTCTCTCCTCCATGGGATCCTTGCGGACGACGAGTCTCGGCGCATCTTTTACTTTATGATTTTGAATCTGTGTTTTATGGTCGTTCAGTCGACGTATGGTGTTCTGACGGGTTCATTGGGGTTGATCAGCGACAGTATACACATGTTCTTTGACTGTGTTGCGTTGTTGGTCGGTGTTTGCGCAGCGGTCATGAGCAAATGGCCGCCCAGCCTCAAATTCCCCTATGGCTATGGCAAGATCGACACTCTGGCAGGACTCGGCAATGGGATTTTCCTGATGCTCATCAGCATCGAGATTGTCTATGAAGCAATCGAGCGACTCTTTTCCGGCGCCGATGTCAGCCGCACGACAGAACTTTTGGTGGTCAGCACCATCGGTTTGCTTGTCAACATGGTGGGTATATTCGCCTTTCACGGAGCACATGGGCATGATCATGGACACAGCCATGGAGATCCGAATCATAGTCATGACCATGTCCACGACCATCACGATCATGATCACGACCACAAACACGAACATGAACATGAACACAACCATAGCCACTCTCACGCAGAGACGCCACTGACCGCCTCTGCATCACCCGTCAAAGGCAAGAAAGCAGCCAGTGGCCATCACCACGGCGGCGAGAACATGCAGGGTATCTACCTGCACATCATGGCGGACGCACTCGGTTCTCTCGCCGTAGTGGGCTCGACGATGCTCGTCCGCTGGACCGGCTGGAGTGGATTTGACCCCTTAGCATCGTGCATTATCGCCGTTCTCATCTTCGCCTCCACCATCCCGTTAGTAACGTCGACGACCAAGATTCTCTTGTTGTCCCTCAACTCGGATATCGAGTACAACCTGCGCGGCATCCTCAGTGGCGTTGCAGAAATCCGTGGTGTGGCAGGCTACACCGTGCCCAAGTTCTGGCTCGAAGACGTCAAGAAGGAACCGGGTCACCATCATCACGGTCATAGTCATGGTCACGACCATGGTCATTCGCATAACCACAGCCATGGCCACAACTGTTCCGATGACGAGACTGCAGGCGAAGACCCAACCGTCCTGGGCGTGATTCACATTATTGCCTCGCGTCACGCCGACCTAGAGGATGTCAGGCAGAGAGTGGACATGTATTTCCGGTCTCGGAAGATGGACGTCGTGATCCAGATGGAGCGGGAAGGCGAGAATAGGTGTTGGTGCGGCGGCGGGCAGAAATCTGGAGGTTGAACTTCTTCTGAAACCTACAGTTTCTGATCTATCTCATCTTTCAATGGGCGGTCTATGTGCCTCAGCCGCCTCTCGGACTTTCGGGCCCTGATTTGGTTCTTTTTGTTGGTGTGACGCAAAAAGCAACTCCCGACTGTAGTGGGAAGGAACTTGGGTTGTTTGAGTATACCTTGCATAGGTACCCTACGTTTGGCTTTGTTCTCTCCTCGCATCGAGGTTGTTGTTGATGTTCGTTTTCGAGCACAGAAAACTAGACAATGGCTGGCATTGCTGCCACAGAGCTGGCATTAGAAATGGGTGAGACGAGGCGCGGTACGGTGTGGGGTGGTGTGATGCGGCGAAGCTGGAGCGAGGATGCTTTATGTGAAACACGATCGTGCATGGTAGAACTGCCTTTTCTTTACCTACAAAGTATCTCATACACAGCCTTATGTACTCTACAAATCAAATGGCTTGTCAAATTCTGGAGACGCATCAAATACCATCTACTGTAACTACCTACGATCCTACACGTAGGCAATAGTACCTAGGTAGTGCTTAAGTGGCTTCCAACTTCCTAATAATAGTTGATCAGACACCACGTTCGATTAAATGTCTACTTCATTTTTCTATTGATCCCATCTCCTCATCTCCATTCCTACTTAATCAAAGGCCGTCACACGGGGCCCATCCATAGAAACCCCTCTTCCCTTTCACACCAGAATCCAAGTAGCCCAAACCCACACCAGCTCAGTGACCAAGCCCAGACCCAACACCACAATACCCAGCACGAGACCGACACCGACGCGGCTCTGCGCATCCCGTCTCCAGCTAAGGGTATATGCCTTGCCCTCAACCTCTGTCAGGCCGTTGCCCTGATCGGCTCCACGGCCAGGCACACCGAACAGGATCCACATGGTGGCAGTAAAGACGGCCATGAAGAAGATGATACACAACATGGCCAAGATCTTGCGTATGGAAAATGTGTAATGTAAATAGAGTGTTGGTGGACCGGCCCCGGCTGTGTGGTGGCCGTGAGGTCCGTATCGACGACCGGTTGTCTCTGCCGTGGATTTGGACCGGTAGGGAGCAGCAGCCGCCGTAGTAGTAGATGGCTGGAAGGGCATTCGGGGGATAGTGACGGTGGGAGTTCGCCCGAGTCCTCCGGAAACCGAAGGAGCACGGGTCCCAGCGTTGGTGTTGGTATTCAAAGTCGTCGCAAGGTCGTTGCCGTCGATAGGATCGCCCTGTCCACTGCTGCCTTGCCGCGAATGCATGAACGAATACACCGGGCTGTGGCCATTATCGTCGGCTGCGTGTGGACTGTACATTGATGACGAAGACGGTGGAATCATGGTCATCAGCGGACGGGATCGTCGCGCGAATGATTCCAAAGTGTACTGGCTGTTGCGCAGCCAGAGAAGCCACATTTTCCTGCGACGTCCGAGCCGTGGTCGCAGCAGATGCTTGATGAAGTCGAGACCGTCGATTTCAGGCACCGCAGTCCCGGTGACGTTCTCGACGATCGACGTCTGCCCGTGCCAGTATCCGAGTCCGAACCCTCGCAGACCTGGTGTCCCGCTGATTGAGTTGCTCGAAGTCGGCGTGCTCGTGCCGTTGTCCTTGTTACTCCTCGCCACACTGGCGTACGAGAGTGTTCGAGCCGACAGAAATCTGCGGATAAAGCCGAGGAGTCGGTCGTTGTACGCTTCTCGAATGGTCGTGAACAGGGCTTCATCGTCGAATGTTGTTTTGTCACTGACTTCAATCTCAACCGTGACTCGGGCAGAAGGGTGACGCGCAAGGCGGAGGTCGAGGAATAGTATCTCTGGCGCAACTGGAGACGGGAATCGATCGGAGCGCGAAGTCACTGGCGCTGAGGGTAGCGGTTTTGTTGAGAGGGGCACTTCAGGGGGCTGCTGTGTGTTCCGAGAAGATTTTTCCTTCTCGTCTGCTGCAGACTCGTTTTCTTTCCGGTGAGACAGTGGCTTGGCTCGACGCAATGACCGAGGCGTTCTGCCCTCCTGGGGTGGTGCCTGTACCTCGTCGATTTCGCCAATGCTGCTGTGTCGAGCTGGGTAGGGCGTGCTGACAATTGATTCACGGAATAGCTTGGGGTCGTTGTTGGTCCGATTGATGACCAGGTCGGCAGGGCGGATCATGACGCGGCGTACGGGGTTTCTTACCGGAGCAGAAATGGCCCGGGACAGCTTTTTGTCCGTCTCCGTGACAGGGTTCGCTCTGAGCCCGTCAATTGACTCGGGCGATACGTACGTGCTGCTAGAGTAGGTGGTGTCGGTGTTGGTGTTGGTACTGCTCGGTATCCGGACTGAGCCAAACCCACCGAACGGGGTGGGAAGGGTGTCCAGGGCCTCAAGCTTGCTTGGAGTTTCTGGGAATTCCAGGATGGTTTCATTGATGGGATTGGTCTGCGAAGAGCTTGTGGCTGTAGTTGCTTGCGACTCTGTTTCTGTGGAGGCGGTTGTACTTTCATGGTTTGACCCCTGACCTTCCAATGCTTTCAGTGCATCCGCTGGCGTGCCTGAGATATTGTTCTTCTGTCGTTGCTCCGCAGTTGCTGCCATATTTTGTAGCTTCTTGAGTTCTGTGATGTCTGTTGACGATGCTTCTGTTGTTGATGGCCCCTCGTTTGAAGTGGAGGCTTGAGAGGGACACAGCTTCGGCACAGATCCGCCGGAAGCATTGCTATGCTGGATAATGTGTGGTCGGGCGACTCGCACGCTGCTTGCTCGGTGAATAATGTGTTCATTGTCACTCGATTCATCAGAGCCAGAGTCGTAAAACGATCGTGGTTCATCCGGGCCTGTTACCGCAACCGGTGGCATCTCAATGTCGCCGATTGGATGCAAAGTCTTAGTTGTAGGATCGTAGGATGGGTCGACCGGACTCGAATTTGTAGTGTCCTTGGACAGTCTGGCCTGTTTGCCATTTTTCTTCTTCAGAACATTGGACTTCTTGGACACTGGTGGCTGTATTGATTCCGAGGCTTCGGATTCTGTCGTGGTCTTGGACCAGCGGCTGACCTCGGGTGGAGGGGCATGTCGCTCTTGAGACTGGCGCATGAGACGCGAGACTCCCCCCCGCCATCCTGTCAAAGGAGATGAGGAGAGTGGTATTTCTGCGGGCGACATTGTGGAGTCCTTCTCAGCGGCCACGATTGCGCTTGAGGGCGTGGCAGTCCTGGCGACAATGACGGGTTTACGGCCAAAGGCACGAATAGGACTTGTAGGATTGAAAACCATGGATACAGCCTGGGAAAAAGTATATCGAGGATTATCGACATCATATTCCTGCGAGAAGGCATCTTAAGGCTTTCCATATTGGATCGCTTGCGGTGGTGTTGCTGGTGAAAGAAGATTGCCGTTTGCGGCAGTCGGACTCATGAGAAGACGCCGACGGCGACCACGGCACCCAGAGCCTGGATAAGTTGACCGCTTCGGACGGAAACAAAGGACGACCAACGCGTCATATACGTTGGCCCTGCGATTCGACCGATGTGAGCCTGTTTGCAGCTGGTCTGGGGATGGTGACACGAAGATCCATCTCGAGCCGCATTCCAATCTCAGCCCCGAAACTTGCCTTGGCAATATGGGCAAACATCGAACTTGTCGAATAACGCTTGACTCAAGCTTGGACCGTCTAGGAATTCCAGCTTGCCGGGATCGAGGAACTGCCTTCCGCATTTGGCGCAATACCTGCAAATTCCAGGCTCTTGAACAGCAACGAAGGAGAGACTGCATCGGCTGAACTGGTGGTTGTTGGCACATTTCGCTGCATCCGACGGCGGACTGAAGGGTATCGAAGCCCCGCAGATGTCGCATTGCTCTTCAGTAAGAATTGGATCAGTGAGACCGTCATGCTTGAAAACGGCTCCTCGCTCAGCGTCCGCGTTCGCGGCTGTACCGATGGGATCCCTCTGCTGCAGCGCTTCAAATTCTTGAGAACCTTGTCTACTCTGCGAAAGCCGAGTCAATGCTGCGGTTGCCCATTCCATCATCGAAGGACGATCCTTCAGGTTTGATGAAATGAGTGCAGCCGCGCAGCGGACAATGTTGCTATCCATTTCCGTGCGTTCCCAATCTGCTGGAGTGGTTATGATGAAGTTGAGGATTTCCTCAATAGCAGCAGCTGGGCTTAAAGTGGAAGGTGAACTTGCACTGACTGGGGGCTTCTGTAGCTGACTGAAAACTACCACTATGCGTTGACTCGATGGCATGCCATATTCGATCACATCCGAGGGGTGGAATGAAACAGCAGCTGCGGCTCTGGTTCTATCGGGAGACATCACCGCGCCCCAATGCCTCACTCGTACATTGCCACCAAGGTCAAATCGTTCGTCGTACTCCTTCCGGAGCTTATCAATCATAGGGATGAAAGATGATTCAGGAGCAGGCTCGACCCATAAAAACTCCGACGAAGACTCGTAATCTGCAATCGACAATTGCCTGAGGCTTTTAGAGTTCGGATCATCTGTGGTGCCCCCAGTGATCCTCTCCACATGAACCGAAATGTGTCTGGGGGGTGTGAATGGACTTAAGCTCACCTTGATGGCCAATGCATCGTTACTGCAAGCTCCATCTTGGGTCCCAAAGGCTATCCAGTTGCTTGGCTCGAGATGAGATACAGGTGATGAGACGGAAAGGAAGTTGCGCAGACCGGTCGTTCCTTGTCCGAGCGAGTCTGTCTGTAATTGGTGTTCTCCCATAAGCTCGACGTGCCACCCACCAAATGCAGCGCTGCTCTGCTTGCGGATCACGAACACCAGTATGTTTTTATCATCATCTGCAACAGCGAGAAGTTGTGGAGTCCACCGAGACGCGCCGGAAAGTGGCAATGCAGGAAGCCAGCAGAAAGCGCGGATGCGTTGCTTGCGCCTAGAATTGGCGGAAACCTGCGGCTCTGCAACAGCGGGTAACTTATGATTGAGAACGCAAGTACGCTTCCAGACGCCCAGTCTGCCATTGGTTTCCCACAGCGATAGAACCAGATTGGACGTTAAGACAGCGAGCACGCTTCTTCTGTACATGCCCAGCCCCGGAGGAGACCATGCAATTGCGACCGTTGTCGAATCAGATTGCTCCTCGCCCAGGGAAAGATCCCTCAGCGGCGCCAGCGTTTGGAAAGGCCAATCTGTCTGTTCGAACATGTTCACGCGCAAAGTATGTGTATGCCATTGAGGGTGGCCAGCAATGACCTGTTCCTGTGAAAGTTCTCGGGGAGTCACAATATGCACAACCTCACCTGCTGCAACGGCCAAATCGTCCGATGACCAGGTCAAAGCATTTTCACACGTTGGCCAGTAACGTAGTTGAACAGGATCGAGATCGCTGGTGTGGGACCCCATTTCCGTAGGTAATGATGAGCGTAGCTATCATTTTTTTTTTGGAACAAGGGCACGGGGAGATTTTGTCAACATGCTCTGGGTATGTTGTGAGCGAAGCTGGCACGGGCGCATGAATGGCTGCTGTATCTCTGCCTAGTACTAGTAGGTAGGTAGTGCTAATGTAGGAGAGTGAAGGCCTGCACTTGGCATCGCTATCTTGAAATATCCATATTGGAGAATTTAGTGACAGTAAACTTGGTGTTGTGTGGCATCAGACGCATCGCACACATAGACAACAATATATGCAACAGCAGGGAAAATAGAATCTGGGACGTTCGATCATTGCACTGGCACCCAGTGCTGGTCCCAGTGGCAGTGTGTAAACCGAAGCCTTGTTGCCAAGAAATGTTCCGCTTCCGCTAAGGTCACGTGGACGGCAAGGCTGAGCATTGGGTGGAAAGAGTCTCTTACTGTTTCATCTACATAGTATATATATCAGTCATAAGTGCAATGGGACCTCACGGTGCAGTATGACGATAAAGAACATTGAACCAGCCGCAGGGCCAAAGGTCGCTGCAAGCTATCATGAGTGGCAGTTATAAGTTTCGTCCAATGTCTATAACTGGATCGAAGAATGGGCAAATCGCTGCTGGGCAGTAGTGACGCCGGCCGTCAGCGGAGGCAGGAGGGCTTCATGACGCAGCAGTGGCCTTAAACGCAGTGTGCTGTACCGAATATCGTGGCAGTGGGAGTCGGATTGAATGACGTCCAAGTTGAATTGCAGGCTTTCGTCGCTGCTGCCGCTGGCCAACAATAAATCAGCACCGACAATACTACGAGTCCTGTACCTTAGTTGTACCTTAGTGCCGGGCTCACTTCGATGAAAGATTACACTCATGTGATTCTCTCACCACCTACTTCTGGAGACCGAAAAGCACGGCTCATTGACGCTGCGATGTATTGGGTGATACCTGGTTTGACCGCAGTTCGCACTACGGACATGCCAATCTCAACCCAAATAACCCATGGCCGCGGTATCAGGGGCATATTGCGGAGAGGCCGTGGCGAGCCAATAGGGCTCAGATGATGTTCCAAATAAAGAACCGTGGGCCGGACAGCTAGACTCCGCTAGACCCAAAGCAGATGAGATGTGTCAGGGCTGACACCGCTAGTAGCATTTAGTGTGCGCTAAGGCGCAGCTATTAGCAGGATCATTGGCAGCCAAGTCGCCTCCTGGGAAGCCTGATCTGATACTAGCAGCCTTGACAGTACCTGTACCACTCTATCACCACTGCCACTGCCCCCGATTTTACGTGCAGTGTGTTGTTGTGTGTGTTTAGCATTGCTAGTCGACGGACAAATCTCTCTTGAGCGATTGCTCCTCTTGGTTTCATGGCCAGTGTGCATCAGTGACGGCGCTGGAGTCCTGACCGCAACTCCGCCCCCCTAATAGGCTTCGCTCGCTCGATGTTGGCTGAGCCTGCGCCCCAGCCAACTTCAATTGTTGGATTGGACTCGATTCTTTTCTCGGCCCCCCGTCTGCCCAATCCAATGAGGCCAGGAGAGGGTCTGCTGTCTTGTCTCACCAGTGCTGCTATCTTAATACCAATTGCCTAGTCCTGCCTCTCCTGCTCCTGCTCCCTCCCTCCTGAACCACTGGCACTCCTATAAGCTGTGTTCCCTCTCTTCCTTGTCTCCCTTTTCATGCTCCGTGCTCATTAATACTATAATCCACGACATCCCCATTGTCCTTCGTTAGCCGGACTGTGTCGTCCTCGGGTCCATTATCGCTAGCCCTTTGGATACAGACACGACAATAGTCATGGCGGCGTCCATCTCGCCGTCGGTCATCATGACCCAGATCTCTCACTACCTCAATCCCAATGAGACCGCCGACGCTCTTTTCTTCCAACCCCATACCGCCGTCACGGCCATTGGGACCTACAAATGGTTGATTGGCACCGGCATTTTTCTGCTGGTCACGGCGATCCAGATCATCAAATATATGCGCAGAGATCGTCCTCCGCCAGGGCTCAAGTTGATCCCAGGACCGCGCAGCACGATTCCCTACATTGGACGAGTCCACGATGTCGATCCGAATGCCCCTTGGTTCGCCATGAAAAAGTTTTGTGATGAGTATAATGGCATCTTCCGTTCCACCATCTGCGGTGAGATGCATATCTGGGTGGGGGATCAAAAGATTGCCTACGATCTGTTGTGCAAGAAGGCCAGGATCTATTCCTCCCGGCCAATGGTGCCTGCTGTTCCCGGCAGTGACTCACAGGGCCAATATCTTCCACTTCTTGCCCATGATGGTAAGCCTAAAAATGCCTTTCCAGCTGTATCCGCGATAATCTGACCTTTGTCCCCAGATCATTGGCGCAACCAGCGCAAGTTCGCCCACACAGTCCTGACCCAGGGCTTCAACTCGAAATACTACGGCTACGTCAGCCACGAATGCAAGCGCTTCCTGTACAAACTCCTGGTCGATCCTAAGGACCATTTCGCTCTGACCGACCGCTTCTGCGGACGCATCGCCGCCCGTCTCGGCTACGGCAGCCCAGCCTCGGCCGCGGCCCACTGCAAGAATGCAGGCGAATTTATCCCTCAGATCTCGCCATCTGGCCCCATTACCAATCTGCTGCCTTTCCTCGGTGGTCTTCCTGAATGGTTGAACACATCGAAGCGCAAGGTCCGTGAACGACGCGAAAAGGAAGAAAAGCTCTGGAAGGGTCTGATGAAACAAGTCCGTGAGGAGATGAACCAAGGAGTTGCCCCGATCAGCTATGCCAGGACGTACTTTGAGCGCAAGGAGGCTGAAGGCGGCTCTCGCTCGTTTGGATTTGATGACCACGAGGCTGCCTACGCCGTCGGAATGTTGGTGACGGTTGCCATTTTCACCATTGGAGGACCTCTGTACTGCTTCTTCCTGGCCATGGTCCTGCACCCCGAGTGGCAGGAGAAGGTCCGCAAGGAATACGACGAGGTCATTGGTGACCGGGTCGTCGAGGTCTCCGATGCACCCAACCTGCCCATTCTTCGTGCCGCAATCAAGGAGTGTGTCAGATGGCGCCCACCGGTTCCCTTGGGCGTGCCCCGTCTCCTCGAGGAAGATGACGAGTGGAACGGCTACTATCTTCCCAAGGGCGCCGTCATCCACGCTGTCGATCTCGCTCTTGCCCGCAACCCGGAACTCTATCCCGACCCAGAGTCCTACAATCCAGACCGCTGGCTCAACAAGGATTTCCCCACCTACAAGGAGCCTCTCACCGAGCATCCCCGGCTCATGGGTCACCACGGCTTCGGCATGGGCCGCCGCATGTGTCCTGGCATTGAGGTCACCGAGGCCGAACTGCTCGTCGCATGCGGCAGCATTATCGGCAGCTTTGAGCTCAAGCCCGTGATGGACGCCAACGGACAGCCCAAGTGGCCCGACTCCAACGCTTTCACTCCCAACCTGATCGGTGGACCTCTTCCTTTTGAGATGGACGTCAAGGTCCGGAGCCCCGAAAAGGCCGCCCGCATCAAGGCTTGGTACGAGGAGAGTGTGGCCGATGAGATGGCCGGCAAGATTGCCGCTGGCCTGGCCCATTGAACTTGAAGAACGGAGAACTTATTACTAGCACTAGCTTTATGTGCTGTATGTTTTTTATCTGTCATGTCCTACCCCATCCTTAACAAGTCAAGTTCGGGGAGACGGTGTTTGTGTGGAAACTAGATGATATTGATATGCCTGGCGTTTGCCCCCTATAGGAGAGGAGGAGGAAGAGATACGAAATCCAATTGTATCTTTGCTCTTTTTTGGACCTCCTTTTGTTTTTGTTCTCTCCCGTCGGAATGTATGTATGGTATGTTATTTTGCATATTTGTCACCAGGTATCTATGAGTGAGCAGATCTAATGAATTGGATTAAATTGAGTTGAGTTGAGTTGAACTGCCTGATGTGACTCGCCCTGCCCTGCCCTGCCCTGCCCTCGCTATTACTGCATGTTATGATTGGTCGCTGCTTAATAGGCTTTGAACAATTCCACAAAGTTTGTCAACAAGATAATTGTTCGTAACCAACGTGAAAAGGGGAGGGCGTTATCATTCACTGCCATCAAGTATGTGGATGCAGTATATACTCGCCATCACCACATGCAGTGTTGTAGCAATCAATGCCTGAAGAGATTGTGAAATAAATTCCACAAAAGTTTGCCATTATCATTTTCTTCAAGTTGATAAATCAGCTTGGAAGAGCATATTAGTTGCTATTATACCCTATATATGCTGGGCATCGTAACTTAGTCTCTTCTCCCTTGGGATTTTTCTATGTATCAATAGATACTATACTATATACCTTGCAAGAGTCTACAACCGTAGACCATCACATCATCTTTTCCTCTTTCTTTGCCCCTTGCCCTTGCCCTCGCCACCCTTGAAGTCTTGATGTCGGTGTCGGGGGTCACATACATATCCAATCTTTGGCGATGACTGGCTCCCATTGGCAGTTAACACAACCCAAAGCCGGTTTCTCTCCGGTGCGGTCCAGGTGACTTTCAACGGGCGTCACATCATGACTTAAACTTATCGCCTGACCTCGTGTCATGCCGAGCGGAACCTGAAAAGGATTGACTGTTTGTCCCCTGTCCACCTCATTATATGCTGGCCGGGGTCCTCGTCCTGTCTGTCACTGAAGGGGCGGTTTTCTGCAAAGGGAGAAAAACACAGCTCCAAAATGATAATGATAGATAGATGGTATACCGACGGACCTGGGTCGTTCGAAATTGGTCGGGACCTCGAATTCCACCCTAGGATATCATGGCATGGCATGGCCTGGCCTGGCTGGTGCGTTCCTGATGGTTCCCAGTCGCTCGCTCGCCCTCCATCCATGCGGTTCTTTTCACGGGCTTGGTTTCTTGTCCTCCACTGCTTTCTGTTCGGCGAACTTTCTTCGGCGAATCAGACACCGGATTCGCCAAATTCTCTCTTCGACAACACGCCTTCTCCAGCTAAGTCAAAGGTTGTGAAGAAGGTAAGGCGAAAAGGAAGGCGCCTGGAGCGTTGCTCCAAAGCAAGTGGGCAACAGCAACGCCAAACAACATCGACACCGACCCCGGCACCAGAACCGGCGGCCAAAACTCCAACTCCAGCGCCTGTCTCTCCCTCTTCAGCGAATCAGACACCAGATTCGCCAAATTCTCTCTTCGACAACACGCCTTCTCCAGCAAAGCCAGAGCCATGTGACAGGTGAAGAAGGCGAACGCACCTGGTGCGCTCATGCAGAGCAAATGGGCATCTGCAGCCGCCCAGTCCAGCTCCCTCTCCACCAGAACGCCTCTGGTCCCAGGCCCTGTATGGCCCAAGTTCGCCGGCACGATCCCTCGCTTCGACTCCTTCGAAGAGTCTCAAAGAAGAAAAAGACCACATCTTTCACGAGGTCAAGGTCAAGAAAGGAGGCAACTTTGGGCCCTGGCCCTGGCCAATTGCTACAGAGCAAACAGATGGGTCACACCGCCGGCAGCGATTCGGACCCCAGCTGCCGCGCCCCATCCAGTGCCCCCGGCCAGAGCGACGGTATTGCAGCTGGCTATGGCCGCCCCGCCAACATTCCGACTCTGTCCACCAAAAATAAAAGGTCGAGCGGATTGCTTCGCATGTGGCTTCTGGAGAACGGCCTGCCGAAGCCAATTCATCATCCCGGTGACAAACATCTCACTTGCCTCTGCCGAATCATCTCGGTTCAGCTGGACAAGGGCAAAGGAAAAGAGGCGCCTCAGTCAAAGAGGTTGCCGAACTCTCTTGACATCTGATTTGTGATATCAATTCTGCATCGATGAGGTTGGGTTGGAATGACCGCTCGAAACCGGCTCTCTTAATTAAACGGCCATGACCTCGGCCATCCATTTCTGGCCGTTTTGCAGCCGCTCGGGTTTCAATGACCGTGATCGAGCGTCAGCCGCCGCGTGAGGATTGTTGGGGTCAACGACACCGACATCAGACATATCCAGCCCCATACTCATCCTTACTATAGTGTTGCTTCGAATAAACTGTGGTCCGAACGATGGTTCAGGCAGACTGAGCAATGGCCTCAACTGCTCTTCTGGATAGGTTGGCGTTCGCCGTAGGGCTTCTTGTTCTTGTACCTGTTCAGCCTCCAGTAGTGGCGTGCGCTCGGCTTCCTCCTGGCTTGGTTGGCTGCGGAGATTGGTGGTGGTGGCGCTGGTCGATTCCGGACGTGCCGCGGGGAGGGACGGGGCCGCAAATGTTGCATTTCCTGTAATCAGAGGTGACGTGCCAGTGCTGAGCTGGGCTTCGATGGACGTCCGTTGGCCGCCATATTCAACGACGGGCCGATTTGCTGGGACCGCTTGGACCACAAGTGGAGTATTATAGTGGTGTTCCATCTCACGAGCCTTCGGGGTTCGTTCTTCATCTTCAATCAGGGACATCTCGCATTGATCCTCGATCTCATCCTCTTCGTTGATAACCGTTGGATCGCTGCTTCGTCGGCCATGTAAACTCCCGAAGCGGACGAAATTGGGAGGAGTAGCGTGTTTCTTTGACCTTCTTGGGGTTGGAATATCCGCAGGACTTGGTCGTCTGACTGGGCTGGCCGCACCTTTATACGGCTCGACTGTCGCTTGACGTGCCTCGCTTTCACTAATTTGCATGGGTATGATCGGTTTGAACTTGTCCCGGCTAGCATCGGAGCTTCGTCTTTGCGCAGTGGGAGAAGTCCTTTCGATTTCGAAACTGAAGTTTGTCCTTAGGTTTTCGTTTTCCAGCACGGGGCTAAGCTCGCTGCTATAACCAGGTGGACGTTTCAATTTGCCGCAGCACGAGCACCGAGCGTATACAGGTCCGGCATCAATTTCCTTTTCCTTCCCCTTAAATTCACCCGGAATGATAAGAGATAGCGAACGGACGGCCGGATGCGTCGCAAAATCATCATCAGCAGTCCCTTCGATGTCCGGCTTCGACTGCTCAACCGGCCCTTGGCTGGGCCCTTCAGTTGTTGGCTTCTTGGCCCCGCCCTCCTCCGGGCACGACATCGTTCGTCGTCTGTTCTTTTTCAACTTGTTGATACTGTCTGATCCATCCACGCTGTTCTTCTCTTTTCCAAACAGAGCTCCACCAATGATAGTGAACCTCTTCTTCGATTCCTTCTTCGGTGATTCTTTTTGATGAGGTTGAGTCTGCTCGACATCGGGTTGCGCTTGCCGATCTTGCCTTTCTTCATGATTCGTTTTGTCATTGCGCTCGGTTCGATGTCCTTCCTCATCACTCTGAATTTTTGGCTGATTGTGAGGGTCTTCGACGTCCACAACTGGAAATTTGTAGGTATCATTAACATGTATTGAAGTAGGGGAATCGGTCACTTTGGGCGGGCTCACAGGTCTGGACGGCGTAGTGGTGGTGCTGGCAAGGGAAGCCGTGCGAGCACTGCGCTCACTCCGCGGACGATCAATACCAGAATCCTGTGAGCCATGCCGTCGTCTCTCTGGTGACGTGCCGACCATGCTCTGTCTTGGCCGCGAGAAGTAAGACAATGGGTTCGCTACAATATCGGCTGGAGGCCGTTGAAGCATGTTCATAGACCCAGTCCTGGTGACTTCATGTCCCCTGTAGGTGGCGAGGCCACGGTAGCTGGAAGATCTTGAACTCGACGGACGAGACGACATCCCATTGGCCACCATGAATGCAGCTTGAGCTGATCCTCGAGGACGTGGGGATTGGAGCGTGGCATCATGCTCACCAACGGCAGGAGTACGGCCATGAGCACTGGACCTGGATGAGCCTCGTCGTTCGCTCGGTGTAACTGGGGTACTGGGGACATTGAAGCTTGATTCTCTGGAGAGGTGACCCTCGGGACGTCGGCCTTCTCGCGCTGACGAGTGATCAGGACTTGCTGGGGGAGTTGCCGTAGTCGAGCGTCTCGACCTGGAAGGAGACGCTGCCTTTGAACTGGGTTCACTACCGGCTTGCGAAGCGAGGGCACTATGGTTCAACGAACGAATCTCGGCCGCGGTCAGCTTGGCGACATGTGGACTGTTGCGAACGGAGAGACGCTGCCTCTGCTTTAGAGACTTCTGCAGCTTCGTCATGTCGAAATTGTCTGCACCTACTGGAAAAGGACATGTTAGCACTGCCGGATAGACATGGGTACATGTATCAGTGCCGGCATGTTCGAAATTCAATGGCAGGGTGTGGAGATGGGAAGAAGCGGGTATCATGGGGCGTAGTGACCGACGTCAAATGGCCACTAATCGATAAGCCGACGGACGGTGCCAACCATTTGACGTGCGTCGAGTAAGCTTTCCCGGCTGAGACAGACCCCAAAACTCACCTGTCGGACGCGGCGGAGCCATCGTGGTCATGGCTGGAGACATTTCGGTGTGATGTGAAGTGAGCTTCTCAAGGACTCGTAGGAGCGCGTGGCAGTATTCCTCAAGAATCCCTCTACTAGAGGGTTGTTTCGCCGGGTCTCAAGCGGTTGTGCCTAGAGACAGTTTGGATGTCTGTAGGCTACGCTCTAGCCACGCCGGCTATTGCGCAAATAATCAACGCTGATCCGGGGCTTGGGCCGAATCTTAAGGAGGATGCAATGGCTCGTGCTTGAACTCGGCCGGAAACCAGAGGACAGTATGAAAACAAACGATCGTCGATAGAACCAGCCGGGGTTTCAAGCCCCGTGCATATGGAGATGAACTTGGCGGGCTATTGCTCAATATCAGTGAGACGACGACCGCTGCGCCGAAACAACGGTGGCAAGTGATGGTCGACTCGACGTGAGCCGCATAGAAACAACTATTCGAAACTCATGGTATACGGATGCCGTATCGTTGCCTCAAACTGAATCGATAAGAAATATGAAGGAGTATTAGGGAGAAGAAAGTAGTAATAATAATGAAACGGATCACTTGAAGTAGTGTTGCTGGCGGCAATTGATGGGGGCGCGACTGGGGGAGGGATCCTTAGGTGCGACGAACAGGGGAGGTGCCGTGACTAGAAAGATTGTATCAAGGTCTCGCGGTCGCTAAAGTCGGAAACACTCTGTTTTTGGCAGAGAGGGCTCTGGAAGAGATGGCTGCTGGGCTCGCTAGGCCGGTTTGGCGGGAGACGGTGGCATGCCGTGTGTCTTGTCTACTGACCGGATCGGGCTTCTTCAAGGGTATCTCTCGTAGTGACGGCGACAGTGATGGGTTCAAAGATGTCAGTTTGTCTATTTTGTCCGTTGTTCCCCTGATGATCCCCGGCGCCTTTGCCTTTTCCCAGGCTCTCTAACTGTACCTGCGCTGCTGCTGCTGCTGCTGCTGCTTCATCCCTGCACATCCTGGATTGTAGCCCTGCACTGTTTGCCTGCTCTTGGACCATGGTCCTGTCATGAGCACTCGATGGGACTGCGGGATGGTTAGGGCCGAAGGACGATGGATGGAATGGATCCGGTGGGACGAGGTTGTCTCGTTGGCTGGGTTTTGGTGCATGTCTGAGTTTGAACTTTTGGGCTGGACGCTGCCTGCGAATGGGAAACTCGCCAGCTTGCCAGCACCTGCACCCGCCTGCAAGCGACTGGCACCCGCCCAAAAATCTCTCAGGGCGTCCGCTTCAGGCTCTGCTGAATAACACGCGCAGCCACCACAGTGCCACTGCGCTACACACCACAGCATAGCACTGGCGTGCCGTAGCTGGACGTCAGATTCCGCAGCAGCCAGCACATTGTTAGTAATGCTAACAATAATAATGATGCTACTACCTGGTACTTCGGAACTGCGGCATCTACAGTACATCTAGTAACATGTGTCCAGCCTCCGGAGCCAAGTCCTTTTGTCGCAAACCAGACACAGGCATGGCTCGAGCTCTGGCAAACTCCCCTGCCACATCTTCAATCAGATCTGATGTGGATACACGACGGCAATGCCTTTCTCGATCGCAAAGACGTCCAACATAACCGAAGAAAGTCGGTGTCCTGCTTGACAGTCGCATCTCGGTAGGATGTTCATTGTTTGAGGATGGTAGCACTCAGATATGCCGTTTTGAACGCTGCCGACGAATATTATATGTAGGGCATTATAGTTGGCCGATCCCATTCATTTCAGGCCATCCTTCGTCGCCAAAATTAGGAAGCCAGACATATATCCACGTTCAAGAACCCCGTCCGCTCAGGGAGCAAGGGCTTCGCTCAAAGTATTTCCATTATATGACAAACAACGCCGTAGACACGCCCTCATTTTCCTTTCATTTTCGTTCCCGCTTCAACGTTCATATAGCATTACTCCAGGCTTCATGATTACAAGGCAAGACCTGTACCATCTCCCGTCCATCGATATAGAGCAAGGACCTCACGCCTCCAATGTTGCTGTTCCGCCAAATCCTCGGGTACTCGACCGCGCACTTGTTGCAGAGCAGAGCGCATCACCTTTCGGAAATTTCGCTACATAGTGTTAGACAATCTTCGCTTAGTCGAGTTCAACTGGACATGTACTTACCTGGTACTGGGTGTCCAACGTGGCCACACAGGCCTCGTGCGCACGGACAATCGTCTCACAAGCCTTGACCACATCCGGACTTACATTTCCCTGAAGTTTATCTGCAAACAGAAGCAGCAGAAAACTGCCCTGGAGCAGATACACCCCGAAGAAAAAGGGCATGAAGCTGAGATCGGGGTCGTATTCGATGATCTCTGCGACGGCTTCGGCGGCACTCACGGCATGTCCAGTCGCGGTCACAAACGACTGCGACGAAATCCACAGGTCGTTGTCGTCGAGTAGAGCAATGGGATCCCACTTCCCCGTCAGGAGAATGTGCAGGACGTGCATAATATGCGTGCCATATGCCACAACGGTTTTGGTTTGTAGGGCCAATTCCGATGCATTGTGAGACTCGTTGGTAGTGGCTGAGACCACCGACGGCGTAACAACATCGCTAGTAGCGGTGTCTGTTGGGTGGCCACCGGACGCCTCGAAGTCCTTGAGACTTTGTCCATATGTCTCAAGCTGTTGGGTGATTTCGTCGGTGTGATCGTCCCAGTTTTTGGGTTGGTTCGCCCTTGGGCCAAACCGAGGACGGTTCCGGGCATGATTCAGATCGAGAATCTCGCCCAGAATGACCATCAAAGGTAAGAAGTATCCAAATACACTGTGAGACGTACATTCAATATTGAGCCCGCGCCGTCGATGCTGTGGATCTGACCCTCTGTCAAATCGTCCGGCCTGGAAGGCGTCATCGTCCAATGGTTGGAGCAATCCCTCGCATTCCTTATTCAGGAAGAACATCGGTCGGTTGTAGCACAGTGCCAGATGCCGGTCCTGCATGTATAAAAGCCACCAGGTTCGCCGTCGCTCTTCTCTTTCTTCTTCAGATACACGGCCGACGAACTTGCGACGAGTGTCATCCACCGAGCTTTTCCTCCCGTCGGCACCCGTGTCTGCAGGGTTGCCGTTGGCATTATTCTCGTCTCCTTCTTGTTCTGGTGGGTTGGGCGGCAGTTCGCGCCCTAGTCTGATCTCGCGCGCAAGTGACCAAGCAGCATTCCACCATCTCAGGCTTGCCGCCTTCCGTTCACTTGCCGAAACCACTGTTGCCAAATGAATATACGTCGCCAGGTTGTCTATCTGGGATCGGTCGACTCCAGGCTGACCAGAGTGTGTTGGCACAACCAATGCGCCTAGACCGGCATCATTGGGAGGCATCTGTGGATAGTTAGGGTTGGGAGTGGCGGCAGAAGTGTTTGGGTAGCTGTGGACCAAGGGCTTCAGCATGTTGACCGTGAGCTCCAGCAGTTTTTGACAAATGCGGGCGCGGGCATCCAGGTGCGTTGTCAGGAAGGCAGCATCGCTTGTTTGGGCTGCTATCCACAGCATACTGGCCAACAAGGCCGGAGTGCATGGTCTCGGGTCGGTAGGATGAAGAATGGACTTTTTCCGAAAGATGTATCCCAGGATATATGGGTTCGCGGGTCTCAGATAGGCCGAGGTGGAGCTCGTGAAGTACTGCTCCAGTAGGTCGCAGGCCAGGGCTGGAGGGATGATTGACTCAATGTGAGGGAGCAGCGGCCGAAGAACCGGATACCGCACTGTGTCCGGAATTCGAGGCTGAGTGGGCAATGGCTCGCTCAGGAACATAGGAGACGTGAGAGCCAGCCAGTCTGGTGATTCGACCATTGGTGCTTTGCCCATGAAGGCAACAGAATAGTCGTCGCCGAGAGGAAAGCCGAAGCCTTGTGCGGACCCCGGCACGTGCATGGAATCAATAGTCGAGGGCGGATATGCCTGGGTCGAAACCGCAAAGTCTATGGTCCGAGGCTGTGCCATTTGAGAGACCATCGAAGGATCCATATCATGCATCTGTCCCGCATTTGTCATGCCCATTCCCGAGTTTGGATTGAATCCTGTATAGAACGAAGTAGTGTGGGTGTTTTGCTCGAAGGTGCCCGTTGTTGGCGCATGACTGGAGACCAGCGTCGTGTCCTCGATTATAGCCTCACGGCCAGAATATGATGTTTCCGAATACTTGCGAGAAACAGAGGCTTGAGCACCAGGAGGTTGATTGTTCGACGCGGTTTGGGACGACCCGTAGTTGGTCTCTTCAGTTTGCTCCGTCTCTCTTTTGGGTGCCCGCCCTCTTTTCTTGTGAGCGCGCGCATATTCACAGACCAACGAGTTGTCGGTGCAATGCGCACAAGGTTGCTTTCCATCACATTTGGTCCGCAATTGGTTGCACTGATCACATGCTCGACTGATCCGCCGGCGGACGGCCGCCCTGTCAGAAGAATCATTCCCATCGAGTTCCGACTCCCTCCTCTTGCGGCCTGCCTGTAGATCTTGAACGTCATACGGCGAAGGGTTAGGATGGATGATTGAGGAGAGGTGTTGAGGGTGAGGTGTGATCATGTCGGGCCTTTGGACGTAGGCATGGAATTCGGAGTAGCTGTTGTGGGTTTGTGGGGGAATGCGGGAAAGCATATTGGCGGCGACGGCGACGGCAACGGCGACGGCGAGGGCAGCACACAGCCGCGACAGTCATAACTTGCAAGGAACTATCGTCTGCGCCAATTCGCGAGAGTTCGAGGGTAAGAAAGCATCTGCGGACAGGGCGAAAGGGAAATGTCCTGTGTCGGCCGTGTGGTGGTGTTCAGCTGGAGCCTCGATGGTGGCCGTTGTGGGGATTTTTCGCTCACATGAGAGCTGCAAGCCCGCACAGAACAGTTGGCTACCAGGTAGCTAGCGACCTAGTACACGGGCATCTGTCATCTGGCGCATGGACAAACTGGGGAACGCCGTAAGCGACACGCGGAAGTCGAACGCCTGGACCAGAAAGCCGGAGGATATGCCCTGCCCCCTCCACAGTGCTAGTACAGTACAATGTTGTAGACCTCCCTGACCTACTATAGGGCTTTGCTTGTAGGGATAACGAGGCCGAGGCGGTGGTGGTGTCGGCGGAGAGCGAGGCCGGTGAATCAACGCATTTGACTACGACAACTGTAGACCATGCAGGGCTCCTCAGGCTTCTGGAAAACTTGCCAGGCAAGATGGAGCAGGTACCTCCGTCTGATGCAGTGGACGGTGTCGCTCACCGACCAAGGGTGAAGATGTCCAATTGGCGCTCGCAGTCATGAACTCGTTGCCACACCGCATACACGTGTGTCTGGCAAGGATTCGACAAATTGTGATGGCCCCTTATTGGCAGGTTGAGAGTGAGAATATGGGCGGGGGGTGTTCAAGATGGCCCCGGTCTGGGGTAGTATGTAGGGGCTGTAATGATGAGCCGAAATCACGATCGCCCGGCACCGAGCAGTAGCATGTTGCATCGCAGTGCCAGTGTTGTGATACTTTCGTTGAAATCGTTGCCGATGCATTCCATTCCATCACAGCATTGCATTGTATGTCTGCGAAGTCCATGTCGCTGATGAAGCTGCAGTGAGGCCAGCCACTTTCAGTTCAGTTGGACTAGTAGGTATCGCGCAAGTTGTATGGGGAAACTGGGTTGCCGCCGGGGAATTTCTGTTCTCTGCCACTTGCATCCTGCAGTGAGTGGCTTGCTCCGGGCTTGGGAGGCCTAGGGAGCCTGTGCCAGGGGTGCTTGTGGGGAGGCAATGCAGTCAAAAGTAGCCCCTAGAGTGTAGACGCAGGCTTGATTTGCCGTGTCCACTCCCCCATGCCAGTGCTTCCACATCCCTCCACCACACAATCAACAGGCAGCAGACAGATCACAATCACTACGACATCATGACCGTAACGTCGTAACGTCTGCTCCCCTGTCCTCTAAAGCATCCCTTTGTCCGCATCAAATGCTCTTGTCCAGTTTTCTTGTCTCTCCCAATTTCGACGACCGATACTCGGTCCCTGCTCGAGCGCCGAGACCCTGAGCGGTAACGAGGATAACCAGGTCATTAAGGCCGGAAGCACTTCGCTTTTCCTCCTCTCACCTTCCAGGGCAGTGGAAGCCTTCGGCAGATCCTCGCCACCTCTACTAACCAGAACAAGGCCGCAACCTCGTAAAGGACCGCGGTGGTAGACTCGAAAAATCACCGATGCAAGCTTCATCACTCGCTTGGTCGATCATGCCGAAGATTACTCGGTGATAGCCCTTCCGCAAGGCTCAGGTTGTGCTGAATCGTGTCCACAGCCCTCGCCAGGCTCCTGGCAAGGCGGCTTCAGGAGCGTTTTCGCCGTTGGCAAACCTAGCTTGCTCTGGGGAGGCCCATCAAGCGACCCTTTGAAAACTTCCCCTGGCGAATTTGGCGGAAGGATCGTCTTCAGACGCGCACTCCCTTGACTTTTTCCGCTCCTTCATTTCAGGGGTCAATGACAGGAGGCTCTCATCTGGGGCGTGTTCCCTGTTCACCAACCTGAGGCGAAAATCTGATCCTGACAGCCACCTTCACCGGTGATAGGCCCTTTTTCCGAAGAATGCAAAATTACTGCTCAAGGATGAGCACATCAACGAGAGCTTCGTCCTTCGAAGGTATTGTGGTTTGATCACATTTTCCCCCTCGTGGGAAGTCATGGCTGTCTGTTGGAAAGCGGAGAATGGTGGACACCTCACTTTCTGTCAATCTCAGTCTGCTCCCGTAGCTGGTTCTCTGTTTTGAAAAGCTGAACGCCCGTTTCTGCGTCCTGTTATGTGGGACTAGCAATTCTGCTGAGGGCGCAGAAGACTGATCCTTTACATACTCGTGGAAATCGACAACTTTTGGGGGGAACAGTCTTATTTCGCATTAACAGCCTAGAGCGCCATGGATATCGAACGGCGAGATGACAATTCGGCTAAAGACTCGCTATGGCTTACTTATATCGCTGCTGCAAAAATGTACTCCTGTGTGCTAACTATAGGCTATCTCTGTTAGCGAGTGAAGACCGTGGGGGAATAGCCAGTCTGTGTCCTTTGCGGAACGACTAATAACAACACTTTACCCGCTACTATAAATATTGGTTTGCCAGTGGTGACCCAAGGGCTCGTTCTGTTCTTATGCTTCGGTTAAAGAGCTGCAGTATGGACAGCTCCTCATCTGTAGGTATGTTGCTTTTGGTGACTATCTGCTAGCACCGTAAAATTCCCAACTCTGAAAGAGCTACTCAACCAAGCTACTCCCAAAGTCTGACCCTGCCATTAGACAAGTAGTAACAGCTCATGCTACTACCTTCATTTACCTCGCCTGGTCCAAATAATAGCTGAGGCTGTAATTCAACCACGCGCACTGGGGCACATCGACAAACGTGCCCGACACGGCAGGATAGTCGAGGTGTTTAATCGGACCGGAGGTGCCCGATACCTTGTCCCATGGGCCGGACTCTTCAACTCCCTGCAAGGTCTTGTTATAAACCCTTGCTTGGAGATATGCATTCGAAGGGTTCGGTTGACCACTCCTGACAAATTCGGCAAAGTACCCACTGACAAGTTGGACCGAGTACAAGTCATTAGCATCTCGGAGGGGCCCATAGAAGTTGCCAAACAGCCAGGCCATGTCGGCCCCGTGGAGCCTGAAATACGGCAGATTCGGGTTGCCATGAGGGTATCCTCGCGTGACGGGGCCGGCGCTGGGCACATTTTCCGGATTGTATCCGTTGATGGTCCGCTCGAACTGATAGTAATACACGGCTGGGAAGGCGCCCGACACGGCGCCAGCGTAGACGGTGGCCTGGTCGACACAGCGGAAAGTGTTGTCGGTCGCAACGCGCTGCGTGACATTGAACGCGTCCAGGGTCTTGTTGCCCGTGTCGTAGTACGGGAACAATCCGGACTCAATGATCGCCTGGGCATACGAGGCATTGATCCCCAGTCCGACCGTGAGGCCTTGTGTCTCGTTCTGTACGGGCGTGGGAGAAATCGTTGAGAACGAGGCTCCATCGTTGGCTGCGACACCGAAGATGATGGGCACGTACGCGGCAGAACTGCTGTTTCTGTTGACCACGTCTAGCTCTGGGGTGGTCACGATCGTCCCGTCCTGCACCACGTATCGTGCCACTGTGTTGAGCGAGACCAACGCACTGGCGTTCACTTGCCCAAGACAGGTGATCTGGTCGCTCAACTGCTGCTGTGTACAGTTCGATCCGTTGAATATCTGAGGCCCGGCCACGGTATACGATTCATTGATGGTATAGTATGACGAGTAGGTCGTGCCGTAGTTACCCTTGAGTCCTAGGTCGACGCCGCCTCCTAGGTTCGACATGGCCACTGCGCCCTGAAACAAATCCTTGGCAGGCGGACTGCCTAGCAGCGTACGGACCGAGCCTGCTCCCGCACTCTCGCCCATGATGGTGATTCTCTTCGGATCTCCTCCAAACTTGGCAATATTGTTCACGGTCCACTGCAATGCGACAATCTGATCGCCGATCCCAAAGTTGCCCTTGATGTCCGTGCCTGGAATCGCGAGGAAGCCGAGCGTCGACAGCCGGTAGTTGATGGTCACGACGACAATGTCTTCTCGAGAGGCGAGATTCCCACCGTCGCTGAGCGGGTCTGCGCCCGTCCCGCCGGTGAAACCACCACCGTGAATCCAGAACAGCACAGGTCGCAGGGCTTGCGGCGTGTTCGACCCGGCTTTAGGGATGAAAGGCGTTTGAATGTTGAGGAACAGGCAGTCCTCGCTGCCTCCGCCGACTTGTGTGCATTGGGAGCCATATGTCGTGGCATTCGCCGTCTGGCCGGTGCCAGAATACAGGTGGGAGTACTGGAACCTTGTGGGAGGGTCGGCATACCTGATTCCAAGAAACCTGAACGACTTTTGGTTCCGATAGCCCACATAAACATTGCCGGCTGCGGCTACCGCGAGCTCATTCGAGACGCTGGCAGTCGAGTTTGGAGGCTCGTTCGCATTGGTCGACTGCGTGCACAGGACAGGAAGCTTCGGATCGCGGTCCGCTGATTGCTCAAACGAGAGAGATCCTTGGGATTGTTGAACAGATACGTGTAATGTACCCCCTGAGATGTGATATGCTTGGTCCGATGAGGTTTTGCCAGAGAAAGCCAGGTATGCCAACGCAGACGAGAAATCGGAGCTGTAGTTCTGGATGGTCGTTTGGGAGAGAAGTGTCTCACTAAGAGCTCCGCATGCCTCTACAGCAGCGCTGGAGGTCATGGGATCGAGAAGGATTGCGCCCACATGGTTCCTGTCGTCTGAGGCGTTTAGGTTGTTTTGGTAAACGAAGGTCAAGGAGCTATTGGCATTCGATGTAGCCACACCGGATGCCTGAGTAGTCCCGAAAGGGTGACTGAATGCAGCTGTGATTAGTATGGCGGAAGGCAACAGTATCCAACGCGGAGAAGGCATATTCACAGACATCCAGTGCCACTCGAGACCGTATCAGCAATAACAAGAAAAAGCAAAGCTCACAAGCACACACAATCGAATTGCGAGACGGTTGGCGTCCTTACCATTAACATACTCTGCTCGGCCACGTCGATTGGCATACGCCATGTGGCTCTATTCAACATACTCTCATCAATGATCCCCCAGCGTTCGGATGCAGATCTGGCCATCGTTTGAGATTTGCCAGATTCAGTTACCTAGTCAGGAAGGACGTTGTCCTGCGCTCTCGTACAACCAGGCTCTCGAGCAACAGAATGCGGAGTATCAGTGATCGAGTCATCAGTCATTGACATAATGCAGAGAGAGACAACCATCATCATTAACAACTTAGCGCTTGACCCAGCAGCGGGTGGTAGCCATTTTGCCGCTGGGTGGTCTCTGGCCTTCCAGAACAATGTGACATGCGCATGATCACAGCGGTTGAAGGGAGTTCGACAATCACACCGACCGTCCGCAATCTGAGTCCATGCGGTTCTGGAGGAGTTGGACAGGGGTGACACTAAATAGCCTAATAATAATGTGTGAAGAAGTTGATCAGGGTTCATCAAGTTGCCAGTGGACTGGCAAGTGTTGTAGGTGGTTGCAATAGAGATACTGTGCTCGGCCGCTTTCCCCGATCGGGAAACCAGCCACTGGCCTCCGTCTTTCTCTTTTTCCCGCGTGAGCCAAGCACATTGTCTACCGCCGCCAACTCATCACCTTGTCTTTTATCATGTGTGTTGCATCGGTGGCTTGTCAAGACCGCAGTACTTTGGAGGTTCTGCCCGACTTCTCAGCAGAAGTCGAGATGGGCTTTCAGGCTGAAGCTGCGTGAAAGGGCGAATTACTGAGATGCTACTGCAACTGTATGCCACAGGGTTTGCAAATATCCCCTGCTGTACTGCGACCTGAGTATCTCAACCGAGGTTAGAGATGTCCGGATCCTCTCCCTCGGACGTGGAAGCGAGAGACAGCTAACAGCCACAACTGTGTCTCAGACACGGGCAATGGGTGTGGCATTGCTCGGCAGCAATGGCTGGGACGCAAGCAGCCGGTGCCTGACCTGCAGCATTGTGCTCTTGCAGTCTCTGGCGTCTGAGGCATACTGGCTTGAGAAGTCTTGATATCACCACTATCATCAGAAATCGACATTCATGAGGCATAATGTAGCCTTCACTGCCGGGCAGATGTCTTCCTGCGGAAGAAATTGCATCAGAAGCAAGCAGGTCATGCCCGTCTGCATATGAGAGGTCATGGTCAGAACCCAATTGTTCTCCCTACCTTTGCTGTCGTAGCAACCCCTGTTGAGGTCCCAGGTCGACCGCTTGAACGACAAGACCCGAAGAGCCAATCTTGCACACCCGTGCCACAGGTATCTCCAGGTAACCCCAGGATGCTCAAGCGAGATATTCTCAAAATGCCAGACATCAGGGCTACACTCTAGCTGAAACCGAATTGTCTTGCCCGTCGGCTCAGGGTGCAAGAAGCGGCCACTGGGCAAAAGCCATTTCCCGCCAACTTGCTCCGAATGTCCGCGGAGCGTGCTGCGATCCCCTGCATCAGATAATTCCTTCCGAGATTTTACCAAGGTGAAGATAGTTGCTCTTTGCAACTACAGATCTGGAAACTGAGGCGTCGAGCGGATGACAGACACACTTACCAGCGGCAAGATTTAGACTCCAAATCATGGCAGCGGTTGGCCCATTCCACGTTCGCTGAAATCATCCCAGGAGTGAAATACAATAACCCAACAGGAACATCTGATGCATAGTCGAATATGTTGGAGACCGCTTGAGTAGAGAAGACCTCGTTCCTGAAGATGGCTCCAAGAGCACCTCGATCCGTCCCGAACAACGGTCAGCTACCAAAGCTCATGTACTGCAAGCCCCTCTCCGCATTAGGGGAAGCAGCACGAAGTTTTATAATGATGGAAATGGCGTTTTTCGGCAATGTTGCCACGAATATTGTGTTACCATGACTTTCGGTGAACATACTTCTGTTATCAGGACTACTCCGTTACAACTCGAGCGATATACGACTGTCTGAGTCCTCAGGAAGTGAGGCATGCAATCTGCGAACTATGTTCATGATCCATTCAATCTCGGACACGACAATTCCCTTGCTGGGACCTCTTCCAGAAGTGAGGGTCTTCCGAGCCTGCTGTACGCATAAATGGTGGCGCATCAATCCTTCCTGCGATATTATTTAAAAAGTCAGCTGTTGCCGATCGATCGAATACCGCAGCTTAAATCCACTTGTTGATATTCCGAAAGCCGCTGTCTGCCGTATACAATGTCCACAAGGGCTAATCTTCGGAAGTATCATTTGGGATTATCCATCATTGCTGGTGTTTACCACAGTGGTCTGACGCCACATAAGCTTTCTCTTGCAAGCTTCACAAATTGGACCCATCCATCGCCCCAAAGGCCCCGGGTTCAGTCTCCGGTAGAACCTCGGCTTGTCTCGATCATCGGCGGCCGCAACTTTTCGACAAGCCGACCCTGCTCTGGCGAAAAGTAGTCGACGGCATAAACCGCTGGGCTGCTATACACCTTGTCGAGTCGTGCGCGAAGACTAGTGTATTGCGACCAATTCTGCCTAGCCTTTTACGCGACAACTGGAGAGAGCTGTCCCTGGATCGGGTGTAAAGGAACGCACCAGACAGTGCCTTGCATTTCATTCTATTTGAGTCGGCATATCGAGCCTCCTATGTGGAGCACCTCTGCGATGTCAAGCAGTGTGCTACAGGTCAATGATGTCTCCAGTCCCAGTAGACTCGCTGGCGGGAACGTCGACCAAATCCCACCGTCTACGCCGAACAGACTGAGCACGGAACACTCTGCAAAGCCTCTGCCACCGCATAATATGCAGGCTTCCGGGTAAAATCCGCATTGTAAAGGTCCGCCGCTCCCTGGCCTGGAAATGAGGACGGGATCCAAGAGTACTGATCGTCGAAATCCCACACTGTGACGCCCACACAGCCATCAACTTGGACGCAGCTGGAGACTGAGTCGTAATAGTTTTGGGCCTGGATCGCAAACCCGGTGGCATTGGTGGCATTGGCCTCGACAAATCGGACGTCCAGTTCTGTGACTGCGACCTCAAGCCCAAGGTCAATGTAGCCTTGTTTAGCCGCGACTTGATCTGCCAGGCTGGGGGTTTCGCCAACGCTGAAGTGAGATTCGAGGCCCACCCCGTCGATCCGGATGCCTCGAGACTTCAGCTCTCCGATCAGGCCATACAAGGCCTGCGTCTTATTTCCAGTGTCTTCGATGCCATAATCGTTATAGTACAGCTTGATGTCTTTACCAGTCGCCTCAACCGCTTCCTGAGCGAACTGGTAGGCAAGGAAAAAGTACTCTGGGCCGATTGTGTCGTACTATCCTTTTGTCAGCCTCGTTGAGTTTTCAACAGGATTCTGTCATGCTTACCCAGATGCTGGAAGCAAAGCTCCCATTGGAGGCGAGTGCCTCATTCACAACGTCCCAAGAATAACACACGTCCTGCCAGTGAGTGATCAAAGTCTTGATGTGGTTCTCCATAACTGCGGTCAAAGTATCGGGGGTCCAGGTGCCATTGACGACCCATTCGCTGAGCTGCGAAACCCACACAAGGTTGTGACATCGCAGATATTTGCCATGATCTTTGGCAATGTCGACATCCACCTGCCCGCCTGTGAAGTTGAAGACACCTTGTTCAGGCTCGGTGGCAAAGAACTTCATGTAGTTGGCTGGGGTGATTTGGCCAAAGATGTTGGTGTTGTTCAAGATCGTCTGGTACAATATGTTCTCGTCCTCTCCAGAGCCCTACGTCCATGATTAGGCAGTGTTCAAGCTAATTGGAATCTCTACACATACAGGCTGATCTGTTGCGCTACCGAACCATAGTTTGCCGGCCGCCTTCGCAAGGTCATTCAGATATGGAGGCGCCGTGGGCTCAAAATATGCTGTACACGACGGTGGCGGTGCTGCTGCTGACGATGATGTTGGCCTGGCTGGGCCTATTGACGTGGTTGTGCTGTTCGAAAAGGGATGCGCCCCATTGCCCTCTGACGGCCATGCTGACTTCACAGGATTCGCGACCACAAGAGTTGTGAACAGCGAAGAGACAATACCGAGGATGGGATATAGATGCATGGCGACTTGGGAAAGCGGAGACTGCACAAGGCCAGGAAGAAAAGAATGCGTCCTACGCTGGAGCTACAAAGCGAAATCACAATGTTCAGTGCTCAACCTATGGCTTCATATATACTGCACCGGCAAAATGATTTCAGAAACGATTCCCAACCTCATCATCATTACCAAAGACCATTGGGAAGGTGCCTCTTGCTTCTCGGTGATGCTAGTAGATCTCTGAGACATCCTTCATGCTTCATCGAAGCGACCTACTGCCTTCGATTGCATATATCAACCGGAGGCCTGCAATCCATATGACCTGGTGGACATATTGTGTTGCTGACGAGGGTCGATATAAGGACCTTCCAAACTGGGCGACCGCGAGCCTGGGATATATGCATCCTTGCATTGCTGCAGATGGGTCTGCAAGGGCCCGTTCGAGATCAGGCTTTTCGGAAACATGGCAGATCGGAGGGCCCTCCCAGGTGCGGCTGATATTCAAGGATTCACAGCCTTGCCCCCTCAGACTCTGGTCACTCTCCCACGAAGCATTCGTGCGGGCACGATATGGCATAGTCACCTGGACAACTGGTCCGGGGAGCCAGTCTAACCGAATGGGTACATATCCCAATCGACCGTATGTATGCGCAACGATTACTGCAATCAAGAGAGCACTCAAGTTAGCGGCAAGGGAGCTTCTCCGGGTAATAGGATAATATGGGTTGACCAGGGTAGGTAGTTGTACGATCAACAGATGGTCAAATCGTGGCCCGGTCTTCTTTTGGGAAACTGAACAAGGGGGTCCGGTGTGGGTCAATGCTGCCACATCCACCGCCGAATCCGGCCTTCGTCCACTTCTCCCACACTTTCTCCTTTCCCTCCACAACTCCCCAGACTTGCTATTCTGACATGACCAGCAACCAGCAAATGGCGATAGACTCTCCGGCAAAACTCCCCTGCTGACGCTTTACAGTCAGTTCGTGCTCTGCAGCAGGGCTGTCACATTGATGCAAGCCCTTCTAAGGGCACGCTACTTAGGAAGATCTGGAGCGGGAGAGGTCCACCTCTACGATGGGCTCTCATCCAGTCTCTCGCTTCACCCGGTCTCTCCAATCCCGGTTGTTGCAGGTTCGACTACGGCGCATGATCGGGTATTAGCGTCCTCCTTCATTGGCTGGGTTGCGAGTACTCATCAGGATATTTGGGAGCGGCCATCTTTCTTGAACGCTAACCTGAACAACTGCGGTAGCATCGCCAGATAATCAGGCTCAGATACTACGGCACGATGGAAACCATGCTGTATAAAGAGCTCCACTTCCTTCTGCGAGACTCGTTTCTCTCCTCCTTTCATCAGCATATTTGGGAAAGCTGCCCTCGATTGCAGATCTCAACCCCTGACTGAGAGAGGGAAGTTACAATTAAATTTCACCACCAGCACTGCCCGGGACTTAGCATCACGATGGGCAAAGGCTACTTCGAGCTGGCTGGTCGCCAGTTCCCGAAGGTGACATGGTACAAGGACCCGGCGCTGAGGAAGACCTATATCATTCTCATGTTCGTGGTGCTCACTAGTGCCACCAATGGGTAAGTACTAAGCACCCACGAGATCCACGACGAGGCGGGAAGGATAGGCTCTGACTGCGTGCCAACAGTTATGACGGGTCCATGATGAACGGTCTGCAGTCTCTTCCTGCCTGGAAAGACCATTTCGGTCATCCCCAGGGCAGCAGGCTTGGGATATTGAGTGCCATTATGCCCCTTGGTTCGCTATGTGCTATCCCATTCGTGCCGTACACGGCCGATCTTATAGGCCGCCGAATGGGAATCTTCATCGGATGCTGCATCATGTTGGTCGGTGTCATCATACAGGGCATCTCAGCCAACTATGGCATGTTCCTGGGCGCCAGATTCCTGATCGGTTTTGGAGTGGCCATTGCACACGGAGCCTCGCCGCTCCTCATCACCGAATTGGTCCACCCACAACACCGAGCCATCTTCACGACCATTTACAACACCACCTGGTATGCAGGGTCGATCGTTGCGGCCTGGCTGACCTACGGCACGGATCACATCCAGAACAACTGGTCGTGGCGCATTCCAACAATTGTGCAGGCGTTGCCTTCTCTGGTTCAGATTTGCTTCCTCTATTTTGTCCCTGAGTCTCCTCGATGGTACATTGCACACGGCAAAGAAGAGAAGGCTCTGGAGATTCTCGGCAAGGTCCACGCCAATGGAAACGTCAATGACGAGCTCGTGCAGCTGGAATATGTGGAAATCCGTGACACCATCCGACTCGAAAAGGAGGCTGAATCGGACTCGTGGTTGGAATTGATCAAAACGAAGGGCAACCGCCGCAGATTGCTCATCTTATTGTCTGCTGGTCTCTTCTCCCAATGGTCGGGCAACGGGCTTGTCTCATACTATATCAATCAGGTACGTCCTTGACCCCTCCGAACGACCCCTCTCCTGGCTTTTACTGACCGATGATGTAGGTACTCGATTCCATCGGCTATACGGATAGTTTGACGCAGAATTTGATCAATGGCGTAAGTACCGGTCATTCTCGAGGCAGCCCCAACAATGTCGCTGACTCCGTGTTCAGGTCCTCAATATCTTCAATTTCATCATTGCTCTCAGTTGCTGCTTCCTTGTCGACAAAGTCGGTCGACGCAAGTTGTTCCTTGTCTCGACAGCCGGCATGCTTATGTCTTTCATTGTCTGGACGATCTGCTCGGCAAGGTACTCTATGACCAAATCAAAAGGGGCTGCAAAGGCTGTAGTTGGGTAAGTCCACGCACAATGAGTCGTCTGTCTCCTGTCGCCCCTACTGACATGTCATAGCTTCATCTACATCTATTACTTTTTCTACAACATCGCATGGTCCGGCATGCTTGTGAGCTACACTGTCGAGATCTTGCCGTACAGAATCCGCGCCAAGGGCTTGACTGTCATGTTCCTCATGGTCGATGTGGCGCTCTTCTTCAACCAATGGATCAACCCTATTGCTCTGAAGAATATTCATTGGAAATACTACATCTTGTAAGTGCAATACCCGCATCACCGCCCCGCGAGCATCTGTTGACATTCATAAAGCTACTGTGTCTGGCTCGGCGTGGAACTCGTGGTCGTGTGGTTCTTCTACATCGAAACGCGCAACACGGCTCTCGAGGAAATGGCGAAGCATTTCGACGGAGATCAGGCGATTCTCGGTGGAGGCGCCGCCACAACCAAGGGATTAACCCTTGCCACTGAAATGGGTCTGGAGGGAACTGTCCACCATGCCCGTGCTGTGGACGAGAAGAGGAACTCCCTTGGGGTTGAAGTTGAGGATGTTGCTGGTAAGCATGATTGAGGAGTCTTGGACACAGGAACCCTTTCGAGCAATTAGGGGGCCCGAGAAATGACCAACCTTGGTCAACCTCATCTCTTCCTCGCTAACAACAAGAAGACTGGTATCATTTCGGTGAGGGAAAGCTATTGCTGTTTGTCTCCGCACAATTGAGTACCAGAATCATCCATCCATAGCACCTAATAGTGCGGTTCAACTTGTTGGAAAACAAAAATATGGGGGTTGCCATACGTTTTGATCCACCGTACAATGCCACCTCGCACGTCATTCTACAATGTGTGATATCTCCCGTCTCTTTTCCTCGACAAGCGGTGAAATATTCAAGACAAGGCAAAGCACGAGTGGCTGGATCCTTTCCTTGTATGTAAAGTAACCAGAACCAAATCTACAAAAGCAACTTAACACTCCTCTGACATTCTTATACGCCCGATCAGTCTGGGTCTGCCTGGCCCTTTTTACCATGCCCAGCCCGGTGTGGGAGCCATTTGGCTTTTTCTCCATGATGGCTCAATTTTCGAGCTCGATTGCGACATCGATGGCGGCAAAAGCACAACCACCATAAGTAGGTACTTTCACAATGACTCTTCTAATAATGCATACAACATATACCAGAGTTATCCCTGCCGGATGCGGCCTGTCTGCTTCGTTTCATTATTCTTTTTCGCTTGGACGTGCCCGTTAGCAGGCTCTATCCCCATAGCCTGAGGTATACCTTAAGCCATATTTGGAGGCCACCATGGCCAACTATGAAGAACCAAAAACCGGCCGGGGATCCGTGTCTCGTCATTCATTTAGCGACGCCGGCGATACCCACGCGGTGATCGACCCGCTTAGTGGTGTCAAGCGAGGTCTCAAAACTCGCCATCTCAGTATGATGGCTCTAGCCGGCATTATAGGACCGGGCCTGTTGATTGGATCTGGAGGTGAGACCACGCTTTTTGTCGTATTCGACGACAACCGATAAGGCCCCCCTTACTGACAGGACATTTTTATACAGGTGCACTTGCCAATGGCGGTCCCGCAGCACTGCTGATTGGCTTTGGAGTCATTGGCATTATCGCATTCAGCATCATGCAGTCGCTAGGGGAACTGACCACCCTCTATCCCAGCGGAGGCGCCTTTACCAGTCTGGCCGATCGGTTCGTGGACCCGGCCTTTGCGTGCGCCGTCGGTTGGAACTACTTTGTCATCTGGGTCGCCGTCCTTGCCAACGAGTACAACGTGCTGTCGTCCATCTTTGTCTTCTGGAGTGACAAGGTCCCGTTGTGGGGATACTTCTTGATCTTCTGGTTCGCTTTTCTGGGCTTTCAGTTGCTGGGTGTTAGGACGTTCGGTGAGGCAGAGTTCTGGCTGGCCCTGGCCAAACTGCTCGGTTTGACGGCGTATTTCATCTTCAGCATCATCTATGCCTCGGGCGGACTCATCGGCCAGCATGGTGCATTGGGATTCAGGTACTGGCACAATCCGGGTGCGTTCTCTCATGGGTTTCGAGGTGTTGCCTCCGTTTTTGTGTTTTGCTCCACCTTTTATGCCGGCTGTGAGTCGGTCGCCGTGGCTGCCACCGAAACCCGGAACCCCAAGGTCGCGGTGCCCCGTGCTATCCGACAGGTCTTCTGGCGGATCATATTCGTCTACATGGGTTCTGCCTTTTTCTTCGGCTTGACTTGCCCTGCAAATGCAGACTCTCTGGTCAACGGATCATCTCGGGTTTTGAAATCACCCATGACCGTGGCCATCCAGAACGCCGGCTGGGAGGGCGGGGTGCATTTGATCAATGCATTTATCATGGTCACTTGCCTTTCTGCCGTCAATAGCTCCATATATATCGGCTCTCGGACGGTTCTGTTCATGGCACAGGAAAGGAAGGCACCAAAGTTCCTGGGGTATACCGACCCTCGCGGGGTCCCGGTCTTTGCAATCATCTTCACCAATCTGTTTGGCGCACTGGCAATGATGAACGTTTCGACGGGAGCTGGCAAAGCTTATAGCTATATTGTCAATCTGTCGGGCGTCAGCACGTTCATTGTATGGGGCGCCATCTCGTTCATCCACATCCGATTCCGTCAGGCGTGGCTAAAGCAAGGCCGGCATGAACATGAGCTGCCTTTCAAATCGCTCTGGCACCCTTGGAACGCTTATTTTGGGTTGGCGGCAAACTTGTTCCTTGCCTTGGTTCAGGGCTGGACAACCCTTAGCCCCTTCAATGCCGGCAATTTTGTGGATGCATACATCCTGTTGCCGCTCTTCCCAATTATATATTTTGGTTACAAGTTTGCCTTTAGGACACGGTATTGGCGTCTACATGAAATCGACTTGGATGCCGGGAGAAGGAAAGACCTCGATGCACCAGAGTCAGATGAGGAGGGTGGCGGTGCGGAAGAGTATGGACGTGTGCTGAGAAAGTCCTTGTGGAAACGGTTCCTGGAAAACTTCTAATATCAAGAGCCAAGCCAGCGGAGCTTATATGCCAGTCCGAAAGCAAATTAGCACATTCTAGCGACTTAACGAATGCCATAACCACATCTTTGTATCACCGATGATCGGTAATGGTGTGAGCCGAACGGATGAAGCGTGCTTCACATGCCAATTGAGAAATAGGTGGGATTTAGTCACAATTCCGAATGAAGAAAATGTTCTCATCAACATGAGGTAAATAGCTATGCTGAGCGCCTGCGTAGTAAGCCTGAAGTAGCGTGAGAGACACACCCCATACTAACGTACAGGCCCACAGCAGCCAGATAATGGCAGGTGGGCGGCTGATGGCAGCCTCGCCGGCAAGGCTGAAGCCCAAGGCCGGGTCACGTGCGATAAGATAAGCTTTGATTGGGGGCGGACAATAAAAAACTATTTTTGAACTGCGCCGCTCATCCAACATTTCCGCACGAACTCACAACATTGTACGGCCGCCTCACTTCAAGTCAAAATCACAATCATGCCGCCGCTCAAGAAGAGGAAAGTAAGCCACGATGAAAACGCATCCAGCCGGAGTGCTTCATCGGAACCAGAATCGAGATCGGAAGAGTCCGACGCCCGTAGTGATGGAGGAGATGACATTGGCGAGATCGAAAAGGCGAATTCTCCAACCACATTCAAAGAACTCGGGATAATCGACTCCCTCTGCGAGGCCTGCGAGTCCCTGGGGTACAAAGCACCCACACCGATTCAAGCCGAAGCGATACCGTTGGCATTACAAGGGCGAGATCTGATCGGACTGGCGGAGACGGGTAGTGGAAAGACGGCAGCGTTTGTGCTCCCCATACTACAGGCACTTATGGACAAACCGCAACAACTGCACTCTTTGATCTTGGCGCCGACGAGAGAACTGGCGTACCAGATCTCTGAGGCGGTAGAAGCACTAGGGTCATTGATCGCTGTCCGGTGCGCAGTGTTGGTCGGTGGCATGGACATGATTACCCAGGCCATTGCCTTGGGAAAGAAACCTCACGTCATTGTTGCGACGCCTGGACGGCTCCTGGATCACTTGGAAAACACAAAGGGGTTCTCTCTGCGGCAGCTCAAGTATCTTGTCATGGACGAGGCGGATCGACTTCTTGATCTTGACTTCGGCCCGATCTTGGACAAGATCTTGAAGATTCTACCCCGAGAAGGCAGAAAGACATATCTGTTCTCCGCGACCATGTCCAGCAAAGTCGAGTCCTTGCAACGAGCTTCCCTGTCAAATCCTCTCCGCGTTGCAGTGTCTCAGGATAAATATCAGACCGTCTCGACCCTGATCCAGTCTTACCTCTTTATCCCTCACAAACACAAAGATCTGTATCTGATCCATATCTTGAACGAGCATGCAGGTCACACGGGGATCATATTCACACGCACAGTCAATGAGGCGCAGCGCGTCTCGATTCTTCTGCGCACTTTGGGGTTCTCTGCAATCCCCATTCATGGCCAGCTCTCTCAACAGGCTCGTCTGGCTGCATTGAACAAGTTCCGTGCCAAATCTCGCAACTTGCTCGTCGCTTCTGATGTGGCAGCTCGTGGTTTGGATATACCGTCGGTGGATCTTGTCATCAATTTCGACCTTCCTCAAGATAGCAAGACTTATATTCATCGAGTTGGCCGGACGGCCAGAGCGGGTAAAAGTGGCTTGGCTATCTCATTCGTCACTCAATATGATGTCGAGCTCTGGTTGAGGATCGAGGGTGCGCTGGGCAAGAAACTGGACGAATATAAGACGGTCAAAGAGGAAGTCATGGTGTTGGCCGAGAGGGTGGGAGATGCGCAGAGGGCTGCTGCCTTGGAAATGAAGGAATTGCATGAGAACAGAGGAAAGAAGGGAGCGACCTTGCGCCATAGACGGGCGGGTAAGGGAGCTGTTGGTAAACGGGGTCGTGATGATATGGACCAGGACGAGGGTTAAGGGTGTCCGTTGTAGTACCGATAATCAACTTATGAGTCACGAATATCAAAAGCTTTTCATTTCAGACAAGCATTAATATCATTTCATTTCAATAACTTTACCGTCTAGAAATATCTGGAGCCTGCATCGGCTTCAAGTTGCAAGGCTGCGTGGACCTGTAGTTTTGTATGCATGCAGTAAAGTAGTTCAGCCTCGCGTGTCACAGTCTCCGGCCGGGGCTTGGCGGAAAAGTTGGAGACTTCGAGTTGAACTTCCACTCTGCAACCAGCGGGCTTTGCACGTAACGATCAAACAACACTACTCACCGTGCTTATAGAGTGCTGTTTGTGCGATAGTCGGCCTCCATACAAAACTCGCCGTTTTCCATCCTTCCGCCAGCCGCCGTGGACACTCTACCCGCCGCCGAAAGTACCAGATCTACACCAGGGCCACCGGCCTGAAGCGCAGGCAAGATGCAGGCCCCAGTAGTGGTTATGAGTGAGTATTCTTCGAAACAATGTTGCAGCAGAGACTGATTGCGGGTTGCAGACACGGGAGCCGGTGAAAGACAAGTCGGGCGAAAAGCACAGATATCCAACATTACAGCGGCAAAGACGTGAGCAATGCGCGCGAAACTTTCACAGAGTTACTCCCACACTGACATTCCGGCAGGGTTGCGGATATCATCCGATCGTGTCTCGGGCCCAAAGCGATGTTAAAGATGCTGCTGGATCCCATGGGCGGGATTGTTCTGACCAACGACGGCCACGCCATTCTGCGAGAGATCGAAGTGGCACATCCCGCGGCTAAGAGCATGATCGAATTGAGTCGGACACAAGATGAAGAAGTTGGCGATGGTACGACGACGGTCATAATATTAGGTATGGCAGACCTTTAATTACGAGGCTGTACAACATGGACTTTTCAGGACTGACATGAACGCAGCCGGAGAAATCCTCGCGCAAGCACTCCCACAACTCGAACGAAACATCCACCCGGTCGTGATCATTCAAGCGTTCAAAAAGGCGCTCACGGACGCACTCGCGATTGTCGAGGAGGTGTCGATACCAGTGGACACATCCAACGACAAACAAATGACGACCTTGATCAAATCATCCATCGGCACGAAGACGTGCTACAGATACGCCGACCTGATGTGTTCGCTGGCATTGACTGCCGTGCGGACGGTGGCTTTGGACCAAAACTCGGTGTCAAATGTTGGACAGACGAACGGTGCGGGCTCGAAATCAGCCACACCAACACCCTCGAAGCCGCAAGAAGTCGACATCAAACGCTATGCACGGGTGGAGAAGATCCCTGGAGGCGAGATTGAAGATTCGCGGGTATTGGACGGAGTGATGCTAAACAAGGACATTACACACGCATCGATGCGAAGAAGGATAGAGAACCCGCGGATCGTGCTACTCGACTGTCCGCTCGAATACAAAAAGGGCGAGTCGCAGACCAACGTGGAGATCACGGACGAGGACTCGTGGAATCGGATCCTACAGATCGAAGAGGAACAAGTCAAGAAGATGTGCGACGCCGTACTGGCAGTCAAGCCGGACCTGGTCATCACCGAGAAAGGCGTATCCGATCTGGCGCAGCACTACTTCGTCAAGGCGGGCGTGACGGCCCTCCGTCGCGTGCGCAAGACCGACAACAACCGCATTGCGCGGGCCACGGGCGCCACCATCGTCAACCGGGTAGACGATCTACAAGAATCGGACGTTGGGACCGGTTGCGGCTTGTTTGAGATCGAAAAGATCGGCGACGAGTATTTCACCTTCCTGACGAAATGCAAGAACCCAAAGGCCTGCACGATCCTGCTGCGCGGCCCGTCAAAGGACATTCTCAACGAGATCGAACGCAACCTGCAGGACGCCATGTCGGTCGCCCGCAACGTCATGTTCCACCCTCGCTTGTCGCCCGGCGGCGGCGCCACCGAAATGGCCGTCTCGGTGCGTCTGGCCCAGCGCTCAAAATCCATCGAGGGCGTCATGCAGTGGCCTTACCGCGCCGTCGCGGAGGCCATGGAAGTCATCCCGCGCACTCTCATCCAAAATGCTGGCGCGAGCCCTATTAGGATCCTCACTCAATTGCGTGCCAAACATGCCGAGGGAAAATCCACTTTTGGTGTCGACGGCGATACGGGTAATGTCGTCGATATGAAGGACTATGGTGTCTGGGAACCCCAGGCTGTCAAGATGCAGAGCATCAAGACTGCCGTCGAGAGCGCTTGTCTCTTGCTCCGTGTCGATGATATCTGTAGTGCAAAGAGTGCGAAGCAGGTCGGTGGTAGTGGTCTGTCTGGTGGTGGCGGTGAAGAGTAAGATTAACAATACTACTGCTGCTGCTATACTTCAGATAGAATTGGGACTATTACTTCTGGCACAGCTGTGAGGTAGCACGAAAATAAGAATATTCATTAGATGACGTGTGTACCAATCCGTTCTACGTGAGGTATCTCACTAGTACTAGTTGTGATGCGCACCAATGTCAGCGGTGAAAGCCTGTTATTCGAAGCCTATGTACAACATGAGCAGTTGCTGCAAGGGAGGTAATATTACCTAGGTAGAAACCATGGCAAGGCTGTCAAAGGTATCTATCGCCGGCTTCTTGCTGATCGACTTGCCTGGTGCACTGGCATGCCGTCCGCTGAAAGGTAATGGATTGATACCAATGCAGGATTGAGATTGGAAACAAGTCATCTAAATGATGTAGATGAAAGAATACATATCGTACATCGAGTGTTGTTGAATTATGACTCGGCCTGATCATGTCGGTAGTAGTACCTCTAGATCTATGGTAGCATTCTTGAAGATCCGCCAACCACGTTTCTCTCACACCTGTCTCTCATATCTAGGCATCAGATCTGATCACATTTCCAATACGTGGTATGCACCATCCCTCCTTGAGGTACGCGGAGAGTAGATGCTTCCGTTCGGTAGACAAGCAGCAAAGGCACCATGGATACCCAAAGGAGAGGAGAGGCAGTACTACTACTCCTCTTCGCTCACCTCGCTCTCGTCATCCTGTGTGGCCATGCCAATGCCCAATCCAACAGCAGCTGAAGTCGCAGCGGCAGGAGTAGCAGCCTGATCCTCTTCTTCCAGCGCGGCCTCCAGTGCTGCAGCGAGCAGATCTTCATCGTCTTCATCATCGTCATGATGCGCCGTTGATGTTGCGGCATGTCCTTGTTGATGCTGACTGTGACTGTGACTGTGCGTCGTTTGATCCTGATGACGACCGTCGCGTTGACCATCGGTGTCGTCGTCATCGCCATCTATTTGGGAGACATCGCCACTGTTGGGCACACTGAGCAGCTTGTCCCTCGGGCTGCCTAGCTCGAACTCTTCCACATCGCCGTCTTCGTCCGTTGTTCCGGCCTCGATATCTTTCATCGTGACATCTCGGTCTCGGTCTCGGTCCTTGCGGCCACGGCCATGATTGTGAGTCTCATCAGCCGAGGGACGAGCCTGCGACATTGGTCTTGAGTTCCCTGCTGCGTGGTTGCTGTTGCTGCTCATGCCTCCGATCGGTGTGCCGGTGTGGCTGCGGAACATCTCGGGATCGACTCTTCCACGACGGCTGGGTCGGTCTTCGGGCGGCGGACTGCCCATGTCGATCTCGAGACCGCCATCGTCGTCGTTGATGATGATGTGTGGCGAACTGCCGATGTTGGCGGATATGTTGCGTGTATGTCCTCTTCTGGCGCTCGCGCTCGGTCTTGAGCCGAGGTGGCTGAACGATGATGACGATTTGGCACTCGGTCGCGCGACGTCGATAATGCTCTCGTCTGCTTCGGCTTCGTCTTCCTCGTCGGAATCGGTAATTCGGGCTTTACTCAACGCTTTGCTCGACGATGATGGTTTGTTCGGGCTGTCGCGCTTCGATTGGGCCGTCGGTTTTCCAGCAATTGTAGGTGTCGCCGTCCGGCTGGTTGGGCGAGTTTTCAATGTTTCTGTTTGCTTCTTCGTCTTTTGTGGCGTTGCTTTGCTTGTGCTTGGTACGGGTGTCGGTCTGAATTGTGGGGTGGTTGCTGAGAACCGGCTTCCTCCAGGTACAGGCGTAGAAACTCCGGTCAAAGGCGTTCGACTGCCAGGTGCAAGGGCCGATTTCTCAACATTTTCTCGTGCTTCGGCGAGGAAGTGCCGGTAGTCATATGGGTTGTCGGTGTCGGGAGTCTCGTCGTCCGGCGCGGGTGAAGTGCCCCCGTCCCCGTTCGGTTGGGCGGTTGCAGTACTTGATGATTGCTTTATTGGTAGCTGAGGAAGCTCACGGGCGTCCTTGGTTGAGTGTGAAGCCCCACGTTTCAAGTTTAAGTCGAGGGATGCCGATATGGTTTCCAAAACAAAGCATGACTTTGCCGGGTCGTAAATCAGCGCCAGTGAGCTTGTCTGGTCCTCCCCTGTTCTCCCAGTAGATGAAGAAATTGCCCCACTATACTGGTATTCTTCGTCATTGCCGGAATCTTCGTCCCGGATAGTCAGTTGATAGTCGTCACCGCTTTTGGTCAGCTTGCTGTCGCGTGGCCCAAATCCGGACTTGGGTTGCCAGTTGTATCGGACAGTGACAAGAGACTTGCTGGATCTGCCTGCTCCATTCGCTTTAACGCTTTCTCCAACGACGATGGGATATTCCGCTGGCCGACGTGGATCAATCCAGCCAGATGGTCGCATGGGATGGAGGGCGGGAGAAGCCATGAACGAAGTATGAGTAGTATCGAGGCCGGAGGATAAGCAGACTGGCAAGGCTGATATTGATATAAGATTACGGGATGGTTGACCTGCAGCACCACGGACAATATGATAATATTGGTTCAAGCGAATGACTGTGATACACACGGAGTGAAGTAAGAGATTGTCCTAGTGATGAAGTGACAGAGTAAAGGAGGACATGGACGGCACTGCATCGAACAAAGAAGGTGGAGAGACGATGAGGTGTGAATGGAGTGTGAATGGAGTGTGAATGGAGGTCCGATTATAGTCGCCATTTGTTCCAGGCCAGCGTCTCCACTTTGCGCCAAGCTTCCGGCCCGGTGATGGCGCCATGCGATTTCCGGTTAGCGGTAGATCTCAGGCAGAGCAAGACTCTCCCGAAGTGCAATCTTGGCATTATCTTCCGCAGCCGCGCTTCCATCTTTCTTCAGCCTCACACCCACGCACCCCACCTTCGCAATAGTCAGTCTCCTCAGGTCTCTAGACACGCCGGACCGATGCGATCTCTGGAGATTAACGACAATGTCGCTGTCAAGGCTAATCCCAGCCTCTATGGCACAGTAACGCGCACTAATACCGTCTCCCATGAGCCGTTAGAGGACGAGTTGATCATCGCTCACACCGATGTCCCCCCAGCCATTCTCCATGAATTCGTTCAGACAGGCATGCCACCACGCGGCTATGTCTTCGTCGAATTTTCTGATGAGGCTGCTGGCAGTTCGTTGGTCAGCGAAGATGACCTTGTGCTACTAAGTCGCCTCTTTCAGATCGGCGATCCCGTCAAGCGTGAGGGGAGTTCGATGACTGGCACTGTGACCAACATTTCCGAATCCTACATTTTGGAACCGATCACCACAAAGCCAGACTTCGCCAAATCATGTCTTGGGTTCAACCCATCCGTCATGGGCACGTGTACGGCCGAATGCGAATCGCGCTTGCCATCCCAATTCTCTCATCCGAACCCTCACACCTTGATTTACGACGTCCCGTCATGGGAGGTACAAAGAGCGCAAGATCTGGTGCAGGATGATTATGTAATCATGTCGGGGTGGCTTGGTATCGTTGACGAGGTGGAATACGACGTCGTTGTCGTCCTTGCCAATGGCTCGGTAGTGGTGGTCACTGGTATGGAGCACCTTCATATTCCGGTTCCAGATTATGGAAAGCCGCTTGTTGCCCTGCCAGAACCTGATGGCTTCATCATACCAGACATTCTCGCCTCTAGACAAAGCTGGTCAAATACCATACCTGTGCAACGACCACGGCCGGGAACATTTGTCATTGTGGACAACAATAGTCTGCGCAGAGGTCCGTGGTTAAAGGGCTCGTACACCCCTACCACTCCTGCTCATGGGTACGTTCTCGACGTCCGCGCCGGAAACTCTTTTGTGGCTTGGGTTGAAAGCGACCCTGCGCTGGGGGTGGCACAAGCATATCACGGACCTCCATCTCCATCTCCCGTACTCCACATCTACGAACCCAACTCAAACTTCTTAGAACATGGCGGTCTGCGGCTGAAAGAGAACGTTCACATCTATGACAAAGGGTTGATGCCATCTAATTCAGAGCGGCGGGAAATACGTGGGCCACAACCTGGCGCTTACCCAAGTCTGGGACATGCGGGAGAGATATGTACAGGGCAGGACCATGCGGTCGGGGCTCATGTGATATTCCGCGATCCGATAGGCGCCGCTGAGAAATATAAAGGGAGCAAAGAGACACGGCACGGCCAATTCAATCACAGCTCCCTTTATGTCCAGGGTGGATGGGATGTGAACGAATTCAAAGTGGTGTTCATCAACCAGCAGGCAAGCGTCCTATGGCAGGATGGCAGTACCACCACGACAGACTCGACTCAGCTTGAAGAATACGGCCTCTTTGAATCAGAACTTGCCCCGACGGATATAGTATTGAAGCGGGAAGGCCTGCGGCAACGGCCAGTTGGAGCAGGACGAAAGGAGGTCAGTGGGTTCAATGAGATGGCCTTCTTTGAACGACCCCACGATTTGTTACCCAAAAGCGTCGGTATTGTTCAGTCGGTGGATCCAGACGAGAGATTGGCCCGTGTTCGGTGGTACAAGGAACCGAAAATCGAGTTGCATTCCTCCGGCCAGATTCTCGATCCAGAGTCAAAGTTTGGGCCCATAGGAGACATAATCGAGGACGTTTCTCTGTACGAAATCATGTCTTTTCCTACTCTCCAACGTAGGAGAAACGACATGTGCATAGTCGCTCTTCACTTGATGACTCCAGCGCACAAAAGCGAGTCCACTACTTTGAATTCGGCGGATGCACGATCACCCAAAGCCTCCCGGCACGACTCCGGCAGGTCCGGCGAGAGGATAGCGAACTCAGCGTCTATTCCATCGACCACGTCGAATGTTGGGCAGGCTAAGAGCTTGGGAGAGCAGACCGCCACCGACTGGGTGGGCCAGGTAGTAGCAATAGGGCTAGATGGGACGACGACTGTACGATTGGGTGCGGCCCAGCCATGCCGGGACCTTCGTGTCGATTACGACGCAATCACGACCATCATCTCGGATCAGGAAGCGGATGGCGATGCAGACGAAGATATTATGGATGTGGACTCCTTGGGATCCACCTACGATTTCTACTCAGACGGAAGCATGGAAGCGATAGAAGAACGTGTCGAATACGAGGGCGGCAGACGGCTCGATAATGACAGCGGCGATGACAACTGGGTATCTGACGAAGACATGAACGAGGACGAAGACCAGTCGCAAGAGTTCACCGATGCGCAAGAAGAAGGACAAACAGGAAACACCGACATGGCTAATCCAGAGGAGGACGGCAAGGATGCACCAAAAGCTCGCAGCTCTCAACCATCAATCCTTCATCTTTATGCTGCGTTACCCTCAGAGGAACCACCTGCTTTCAACGTCTTGGAACGAGAGCCTCCGCCAGACCAGTTTGGCTTACATTCCATATCAACTGCAGGCAAATTCCTGAAACGCATCATGCGCGAACATCAGATACTCGCGACCTCTCTACCGGCAGGGGAGATTTACGTGCGCACGTACGAAAGCAGACTCGACCTACTGCGTTGTCTGATCATCGGCCCCAGAGATACGCCTTACGAGAATGCTCCTTTTTTGATCGATTTGTACCTGCCAGCAGGATTTCCAGCCGAGCCTCCCACAGCGCATTTCCACAGCTGGACGAGCGGGCTAGGCCGGATCAACCCAAACCTTTACGAAGAAGGCAAGATCTGCCTGAGTCTCCTTGGCACATGGGCCGGGAAGCACGAAAGTGAATCATGGAGCGAGAAAGCCACGATCCTCCAATTGCTGGTTTCTCTCCAAGGACTAGTGTTTGTGAAACGACCATTCTACAATGAAGCCGGTTTCGAAGGCTACGAACAGGACAAGAGGTACCTGCGAGAGTCGGAACAGTACAGTGAGAAGGCCTTCGTGATGGCAAGATCATTCGTCAAATACGCCATTTTGCAGCCTCCTGGAGGACTGGAGGACATTCTCGCCGGGCGGTATCTACCTCACGACTTGGCCGCTCCACAGAATTCGTTACTATGGACCGTGATTGAAAGAGCTCGTCAATTGCTCGAAAAGTCGGACCAAGCAAGACACGCCTATTACGATGGCCTTTTGGACTCTGCGGGCAGTACCGACGACGACAATCGCGTGTTCTTGCGACCTCTCAGTCTGGGAGCTTGTGTCATGTTGAAGCGTACACTCGCCGAGTTGCAAGAGCAACTGGATCAGCTGTTACACTCGGCGCCGGCAGCCAACAACTCTGCGGAGAAGGAGAGCGCGTCGGCCCAACAATGAATTGACGTTTGACGCGGCATGACAGGGGATGACACGTTTCCAGCACAACACTGCCACTTGGCTTTCATGACCTGTTTGATTAAATCACTCGACTATGCAAGCATGCGTGCTTTGACGCCACGATTCCAGCCCCTTGCCGGGCGCTGGAACACTAATGTCACGATTACATAGAAGTATCCAGGAGATAGACGAATGCGTGAATGCATAAATGCCAATGATTGCAAAAAATGTTTCATTCTTCGGCACCTAAGTCGTTGCATTGCAGCCGTAGACGCGAACTAAAACCAACGATAAGGATCGATCGCGCAATCCGTAAACCGAACCGAACGCTGCGAAGCGGATCGAGCTGGGCTCAGGCGCTGAATCGACCCCTGCCTGGGAGGATACTGTAGTTGTAGTTTCGTTTGTAAAGAATGGTACCTGGTAGATAAGGGTGATCAGCATGGTGAGTAAGTGCATTGCTATTGCTACAGCTCTACCCTAGATTTCGTGCACGGGGCATCTAAAGTTTCCGGTTCCTGCAGCAATCTTGTAAGCTATTTCTAGATTCGAAGGTCACAGAACAGGGTAGATACTAGTAATCGAGGCATATCTGCAGGAGAGGAAATGAGACTGACAGCGCTGAAATGGAGAAATGAGAGAAAGAGACAGCCAACCATGACCGGACAAGAAGGATCACAAGCAGGAGGAAAGATGGACAAGGATATCTGAGTATATAGACCACACCCGTTCACTGTGCTCTCTTGTGGGAAGATAGCCCGATCCATCCTCTGGATCTGTAGGCACCGTACCAAGTGACATTCGGACACTAATCGACAAAATGAGAAGACGCTCAAAACAGATTTATTTCAAAGGAGAGATCCTCTTCCTTTCTGGCTCTGCCCCTCAGAGGTCAAGTCCCAGCCTTTTACTCGGTTAGAGCTTACTACCTACCCAGTATACCTTATCGACCATCATTTAGATCTCAAACTTCTCCCCCACAAGCTGTTCACTCAACTTCCACAACCTCTCGGCATTCTCCTTATCACTAGCATATTCATAAGGCTCGACAACATTCCCATCAACCAGATAACTACCAGACTTGTCCTCAATTCTCGGATCGAGCGCGGCAACAAGAGTAGTCGACACCCCCTGCTCCGGTGATTTGGGTGTCTCCGTATTGATAGGAAACTCACGGCCGGTATTCTTCTTACTGATATCCTTGAGCTGATCGATCAAAGCGACGAAATCACCTTGCAGATGCGCACCCAGGTTCGTAGTATAGATGTTGCCCGGGTGGACGGCATAGACGGCGACGTTTTTGTCGCGCAATTTGTCGGCCAAAGACACAGAAAACAAAATATTGGCCGTTTTGGACTGTCCGTAGGCTGTCCACGGGTCGTATGTTGCCCCGTTGGAGAAGTTGTAGTCGTCGAAGCGGAAGGGACTTAACGTGTGGCCTAGGCTGGACAGGTTGACGATCCTGGCACCCGGTCCGGCAGCCAAGATCTTGGGCAAAAGGTACTTGGTGAATATGAAGTGACCTAAATGGTTGGTTGCGAGTTGAGATTCGATTCCGTTCTTGTTGGTAGTGTATTCGTTCAATGCCATGACGCCCGCGTTGTTGATTAGGATGTCGATCTTGTCCACGGCATTGCTGATGGTCTGCGCGGCCGTGCGGGCCGAGTCGAAGTCGTCTAGTGAGACGGGGACGAAGGTTGCTTTGATTTTCGGGTTGATTTCGGCGATCTTGCTGATGACGGGGTCGACGCGTGATTGAGAGCGTGCTAGGAGGATCAGGTGCGCTGGATTGCCGTGGGCTAGAGATATTGCTGTTTCGGCACCTAGGCCGTTGACGCTGGCTCCGGTGATGACGACTGGAGAAGGATGTTGTGTTAGCATAGGGAGGTATCTGTGGGTATGTGTCTCTGGTTTGTGTGTATATGTGTGTCCGATGTGTATGGGATCGCATTGGGACTCCTGGGCTCAGAGATGGAGGGCGTATGGTCGACTTACTTGTCTTGCCTTGGACTCGGTCGACGAATTCGTTGACGACTTCCTCGCCGGTGCTGTCATGGTTAAAGTCCTTCATGTTGGTTGTGCGAGTAGTCCAATGTGGTACAACAATGGAGTAGCCAAGTCACGTCTTCTGAAGTAGAGGCGGGAGAAGGATTTACACGATAGCAGTGGGCACACAGTTCGCTGGAAACAAGTTGCTGCGATGGATGGAGGGACAGATGCCTCGTCACACCGCGACATGTCGCCATCTTAAATACCTTTTGAAGCGTCCTTTGCTGACGCTGGAGGCCCGGCGGATCATGTTATCTCCGTCACAAGAGAGGAATATAAGTTGAGAAGCAGGAGTTCTCCGTGGGTTGGCACAGGGTAATACAGGAGTATGCATCGAGGCGATGTCTCTGGGTCTGGAAGCGGAGGGAAGTTTGTTCCCAAACAATAGAGATGTTTGATCCAGTCTAGTCCCTCTGCGGTAATTTACAGGACAAAGACAGGCACCAGCGGCCGCACGCTAGACCATGTCGGTATCAGCCATCAGCCTCAGGCGGCCGCCGGTCGAAATCTCGGTGGAAACCTGGCACCATCACCAGCACAATCCAATGGCGTTATCAAGGGACGCTGACACTGTTACAGCCGAGGAGCACAGCCCGGTCATAGTCATACTCGGAGTTTAGTCGATAGTAAATGTCAGTCAGCATTGTGCTCGTTCAAATATGTCGTGGTCCAACAGTCACGACGCTCATTGGCAAGAAAATATCTCATTGAAGTCATCACTTCCAGCAACAGCCTGGTAAAGCCATCGAAAGAAGCACTACACCTTGGACCGAAGTATGGTAATGATACATACAACATCAAGCGAATGCCTGGATACTCGTAACGGGGGTATCTCTGAAAAACAAAGCAAAATCTCCGGTCCATTCGAAAAGAGTCCAACCCTCCATATCGCTTTGGTGCATTGCGCAAGCCCCAACATATCTCTCGGTCGAGGTTGGCACCCTGATTAAGCCATTGAGGAATGCATCAGCGGGGTCGCCTAGATGTTTTCAATGACTCTGGCGTTCATGGCTTGTTGGAACCCATCATTTGCATCCGTGCTAAAGGCGTTGCTCGTGTTCTGCTTCGAGTTGAAACCGCTAGATTCACCACCTGTGTGCTGCTGTTGAATAATGTCGCCCATGTTGGTAGGCATCGTTTGATTGGCGGCAGGAAGGAAAATGACCTTGCTGTTGGCCGTCTTGGCCATGGCTTGCATGGCTTCAAGGTATCGGATCTGCATGGCAGGTGCCGAGCTCAAGATGTCGGCGGCTTGTCTCATCAGCTTGGCAGACTCGACTTCAGCCCGAGCCGCGATAACCTTGGATTCACCAATCCGCTTGGACTGAGCGGCCATGGAAAGAGAGTCTTGTAGGTCATTGCTGAAGATGATATCTTTGATCAGCATGGATTCGACCTGGACACCCCAGCCTGATGCGACATCCTCAATAATCTCTCCGATGGACTGGGCGATCTCTTCTCGTCGCTCAATCACATCCTGAAGCACCCGGGCACCCACGACATGACGCAGGGTAGTCTGGGTTCGCTCAACCAATGCTTGTCGCACATTGGAAATGCCAAACGCCGCCTTGTGAGGAGAAGTGATGTGGTAATAGATGACCGAAGTCAAGTTCAATGTGACATTATCCTTGGTCATGCACACTTGACGCGGCACCTCGACGATCTGGATCTTGACATCAACCTGAATGAGGCGTTCCGATAGGGGATTGATCTTGACCAAACCAGGGTCGACGGCGCGGGCGAATCGACCGAATTTGGTGACCAAGCCGACATTGCCCTGCGACACGGGTTTGTAGGGGTTGGGGCAGATGACGCAGCACGGAATGGCGCCCATGAATCCAAGGCAATTGCCGAGGGAGTTGACTGTGGCAGATGTCAGCGATGCTTGAGGTTGTGATTTTGGAATCCTACATACTCATTGAACCATACCACCCGTGGGTTTCCGCCTCGGTGTCGCCTTGGAGAGTTTGCGCGTACGAAGGCTGCAGATCCTCGCGTCGCGGCGGCTCTACCTTGATGATACCACCATTCTGGGGGCGGAATCCGACAGGCGGGGTGGCAGTCTTGCCATTATCGAGACCAGAGGTTCGAGGAGACTCCATTGTTGTTGCTGATCGCTCAGGCGATGGAAGTAAAGCACGTGTGGACGACAGGGTGGCAGAGACCTTGGTGGTCTTTTGCGGCGACCGAGAAGGAGAGTGCAGCTGGTTTGCGTTGTGTAGTATTTGTACCTAGTCAAAAGGGGCGACGACTTTACTTGCGCACAAGATGGATTGTGGCAAACAGATGAACCGTCGCGATTTAGTTGTAGGTCGAGAAGTGAGGAGATGGAGGAAATGGACTACGGAATCCAAGATGTCATGAACTGGTAGATATATGATGGTGAAGGGTGTGTTTATTGATGAAGTGGAGTGAGAGGAAGTCAGCCGGAGAGTGTGGGTGGAGGTCAATGTGGACGCTGAGGCAGACTCTACTACTAGCACTCGCAGCATTGGAACCGACACCCGGGGAAGGCCTGATGATTGGCGCTGGAGAGACCGCCCAGGGTTTGAAAAGCTCCCTAACAGCCTGTCAGAGCCCCAGTCTGTCCCTAATAGGCCTTAAGGAAGCCCCTAAACTTCTCTACGTGCAGCGTGCAGTATAGTTGCCATGGCTGTGTTATTTCGGGAAGCATGGGCACCACTTTGCACTGCTTCCCCGCCGAGAGACCCAGAAGATAGACCCTGGGTGACCATTCCTACAACCGAACTGTGCTCCCACTGCTCCAGTCGGCGCACCTGACAAGCCCAAACCGGTGCAGAATCTGCATGGCGGTGCCAGTCTGCAAACAACCAAATTTGTGGTCCTCACTGGCAGCCGGTTATTCCCTCTCGTATTTCCATTTGGCACTGCTGCAAGGCGATTGAAGGTTCGCAACCTGAGGCCGTTGGGTTTGCACACAACGTTTGTGCCGCATCACCACAACGACTGCCGACCCCCTCGTCGAAACTCGATCCTATTTCTCCTTCCCGTCCGGTGACTGCAGCAGACTTGGAGTGGCAATGTTACAGAGCGACTAGGATCTGACAACCCTTCCATCTGCTCTTTTGCTGTTGTCCAACTCCAAGGGGGCAGTGCCCGCAGTCCTTTCTCCACCACGCTTTCAATTCACCTTATGCTTTGGGGCTGTTCCTCTCTGGCATGAGCCATGATTCGATCCCTCTAAAGATCTGATGCGCCGGACGCGGCACATCGCCTTGCTACTAACAACTGTTTGGCGCGGCGCTGGCCATCCGTTAAGTCCTTCTGCCGCGTTTCCGGGCGCAATGGTCGAACCACTGCAAGGATCCCCCAGCGACTTCGCAACAGTATTGAATGAGTTCGCCTGCCGCCTCCCACGTCCTTAATGCGCGGCAAGAAAGCTTAGCATGCTGAGCCTGGCCATGGCCTCGAATGCTACAGCCCCCGCGGAAAAGTACGGCACCCCTGCCATTTACGTATTACTGCCTTCTCCAGCCGCGCCGATACCGCCGATGATCAGCAGCAGCTTGGACAAGGGAAAGACCTACTACTACCTAGGTATTGATCCCACAACTAAGGTACTCAGCCTGGGCAAGTGAGCCTTGCCCTGGCGCAAAGGAATCATGATCACACCCCAGTTTACTCAAGAGAGAACAAGACAGTCCTGGACGCTTCAAAAGCCCTCAATTCATGAAAGTAACCTGGCCTGCTGCCCGGCTGACATCGCCATCCCTTCTTGCCCCGGAAGGTGATCGTTACGCTGCGCTGCGTTGAGCGTGCTACACATGCTAATATGGCAGGGCTCGAGGTCCGTGCTTGCTGACGCATACCGCCGACGATCACGCTGGCCAAGGCTACTCTTCCATTGGCAATTTCGTGGCATTCCTTGGGGCGTCGGCAATCGGCACATTGACTTTCCAGGGTCATCAATCAGGCAGTCTTCGAGAACAATTCTCTTCGATGCCCTAGTGCAGCCCTGAGTGCCGTGTGACCTCTTACTCGTCGAAGAAGTACTCTTTCAAGTCCTTGTGCTCGTTGCGGTCGATCTCCAGAGCCAAAAATAGAGCTGCGAGCCATTTTCTTTGACGTCTTGTAGGCTTTGAAGGGCTACTATTCCATGTGAGTACTTCTGAAAGATCTCGATAGCATCATGCCTTTACTCTGACATCATCCGTGGACATCAGAGGGATGTTCTGCAATTGCCTTTGTCGGCTCAACGTCCCGTATTCGTATCTCCACGTTTTATTTCATTGTATGCTAAAAGTAGCAGCATAAGGATCTGGTAAACCTCCGAGGTGAACCGTGCATGATCCTCTCCAGTTGTATGGTCCCATCCTGCAGCTCAGCGAAAGAAAGATATTTCCAGTTGGAACGAAGTCAGTCCTAACGACACTGGTAGAGCACGGTTGGTGAGAAGATACCATGTGGTGCCCGCTCCATGTTGCCACCGCACTCAAACGTGCTCCTGTTGGTGCTGGGCATGACTATGGATTCAGCGAGCTCGATCTACAACAACTTGGCCGTCTTTCCGTGGCCACCGCAAGGATCTCGCTTATCCAGCGACAGTGGTCGGGCTTCAGGAGTATTACTGGACCACCTTCAACATGATGGTGATTGAGCAAACGACATCTTCAACAGGTAGGTCGGTGGTGCATGAGACTCGAGGCGCCCTCTAGGAAACAAGGACACGGCTCGGCGTAAGGATTATCGCTCCCATCAGCAGCAAGTACTTTAGGCATGTGTATTTTTGGCGACAATCTACACACCTGAAGGGCTGCGAATTTCACTAGCCATTCCTACAATGCCTCTCTCTTCCTCGGGCTGGAGGACGATGCCAAACCATGTCCGCAGACCAATGATCCGCTCCCTTTCGGTACGGGCCTCCAGAACCACTTCCTTCTTTGCCTCGCCTAATCTCCTCTCTATGACGTTTCCGGACAGAATGAGCGTACCGACGGGCTTCGTGCGAGTTTCCTCATCGATGAGTGTCCTGACCATGACCAGCCGGTGAGTAAACCAGCTCCTCGGATCTTGAGAGGTACGGTAATTGATAATCTCAAAGTCCGCCGGTAGCCATTCGACCTCGGAGAAACAGTATGCCCCCTGCCACTCTGGGTGCGTCTTATTGCGGGTTTCCAGCACCCAAAGCGACGGTGAAGAGTCGGTATTGGAAGCGATCGGACGGTAGACGAGCCGGACCTCGGCACCAGGAACTGAATTATAGACCTTTGGCGGATTCTGTGAGTCTCCTTTGATCAGCGGTATAGGGTGAATTGCCGATTGCGACCCGAACCCGACGTCGACCAAATACTTTTGGCCGTCGATGGTCACGAGGATCGCTTCATGCGACCATCCTGCAAACCCTTCAGGATGTTTGCCGTTGCCGTCAACCGCAAAGCTGATTCGTGCACCAGTCACGTAGAGTTGGTATCCTAGAGATCGAAGGATTGTGGCAAAGAAGGCGTTGTTCTCCATGCAGTAGCCCCCGAGTTTGCGCTCCACGATCTTGTGGAATAGTGCCTCCGAGTCGAGGGTGATGATCCGATGCCACGAATAGTGTAACGCTACGTTGCCCCAGGAGTTGAAACCCATCTGGCGGATTTGTAGGCGACTCAGCGCCCCGAGTGGATCGGCCTTGATCTCGGACTGTAGAGTGGCAAGTGTATATGTTGGGTCGGGGGCGATACATGCGACATAAGCCGCAAGCTGGTCGCCGGTGTAGGTCGGCCGGTAGGAGGGTGACTCTGGGTCTGGAAAGTGTGTCATGGTTGTTGTACCTGGTTTAATGCAGATCGGCTATGTGTATTGGGAAGCACTCGCTGATGCTGAAAGAGAATGAGATGAGGCTGGAGTTCTGACGTCTGTTGCTCAAATCATCTGGTTGTAGTCTCTTGGGATAATCTGGTCACGAATATACAACGACTATCCAAAAGTCTCTGCGGTAAGACAATTGTGAGAGAAGGCGAGGGAGCTGTTTAAAATCGGGCTTTGAATGGTGAAGTGAATGTAAACCATGATATAAAAGAAGTTGGACGTTGTGGTGATGGTGACGGTATGTGGGACACTAACGGACGATCCACTGCTATTGATCAAACCAACATTCCTGTCTTCTGGTCTTACCAGCTTGCCTCAATCACCACCCTAGATTAAGCTACGAACTGCGTAGAAGAAATGTACAGTACTTCTAGGGCAAATTTATCTTGGATCCAGCAATATCCAAGCTCCTATGCAATCACCGCCAACGAGCTCTCCTCTGCACCAAACACACTGACTGCCTCATGTAAGCAAAGAGCTAGAAAGAACGTACCCCCTACATCCATGAGGGCCGCGGTCCGTCGCCACCATGAAAGACACTCTGCGGAAAAAGCCAGCGAAAGCGAGTGCGGATGGTGAGGTTCAAAACCCATCGCAACTTGAATCTTCCGAATCAGCTTCTTCAAATCCCTGGGCTGGTGAAACAACATCAACCGCTGTCAACAACAACGAGGCCATCTCTCGCCAGACATCAAAAGCTTCCCAGAACTCCGGCAATGTCTCTCGCCGAACCAGCCAAAGCACTGTCCCGCCACCAGTCACGGAGGCCAAATCCCCATCGCTAGGCCCAAGCAATGGCCAGAGCCAGAGGCAGAGTCTAGACGTTCCGGGTGAAGCAACACTGGCAGCGAAACCCACCCGGCGCAGAAAGACAATCACAAAGACGCCGCATACATTCGAACTAGAAGCGGATCTCAACCCGCCTAAGGTCCCAGAACAGCCTCCCATATCGACTACTACTGCTACTGCTACTGCTACTGCTACTACCGCAGAACCACCGTTACTGAAGCAAGAATCCCCAGTTGTCAAAAAGAAGAAGAAGCGCCTATCCCAACCGCCTCCACCTGAGGGTGGCCTCGTTGAGCCGGCGAGCAGCAGCAGCAACAACACTGTACCAACACCACCGCCACAGAGATCAGCCTCAGCATCAACATCACCGTCTGCTCCTCCGCCGCAGGGGGATACGAACAGTTCCACCATCGAATCTTCATCTCCATCTACACCCGTGCAAACCACTCCATCTCGTGCTCATCCCGCTACTCTATCTCCATCAACAAGCACTTCAGCACCTACAAACCCTTTCACAACGGCCACGACAGCGACACAACGACCCAAGAAGTCCAAACCCAAATCCTCCTCGGAATCTCCATCATCACCAACAAAGCCTACTGCGGCCGTGGCCATAGTACCACCCTCAAACCCATGCCGCTTCACCCCACCCCCTCTATCCGCCTCAAACTTCCAAGGAAAAGTAATAGTCCTAACCAACGGCACCAGCCTAACAAGTCAATCCCTAATCCGAGCATTCCACTCCGCCGGCAGCCGCGTCATTTTCGGCGACAGTCAGCACCAAGCGGAACAAGCTCGACGCCTGATTTCCAGCCTGGGTCCTCCGCACGTGGTCCATTTCAACAAATGCGATATGACGAAATACTCTGATATATTGGAACTATTCCAGCTCGCGACGACCATGTACGGTCGCGTGGACCATGCTGTTTTTGGCGTTGGCGATGATGGGGGTCAAGCGTGTTCTGTTGCGCAGGGCGAAAAGGGGTGGTTTGACCAGGAAGGCGGAAGCCGTAGTGGAAACAGTGGTGGCAGCAACAGCAGTAAGGGCGGGGGTATCTACAACAAATCCGCCCGAGCAGCTGCCCTCGCTGAAGTCGAGACCGAGCCTCCTTCGGGTACAGACATAGGCGACATTATCACGGCCAGTGTTCGATTTGCACGTATCGCGTTGGCGTATCTACGGTATTCGCCGAGACCGAGAAGGAAGACTGAACAAAAGGACACAGAGAGCAATGATAGGAGTCTGACATTCGTCACGAGTGTCGCCGCGTTCAAGGATCTCCCGTCCCTACCGATCTATCAGGTTGCTCAACATGCGATTCTGGGACTGGTTAGGAGTTTACGTGCTACGGTAGATCCGGATCCAGAACGGGGGGATGGTGTTCGTGTCAATGCTGTGGTGACGAATGTTATGGTTCCCAGGGCGATTGAGCAGTCGGATGGTGGGAGGATGTCGGTTCAGTTACCGATTGATAGGCCGGACGATGTTGCGAGGGTTATTGGGGGTGTGGTGGCGGCTGGGGCGACGACGAGCGACACTGTCAACACTGTCATCAGCGCGACTGGGTCAACGTCGCATGAAGATGAAGACGGAGACAACACCAGGGCCGGAGTTGGAGGAGAAGGCAAGGAGGGAGAAGAAGATAGAAGCCCCATCTGGTATGAAAAAGGATACGAACGAGGCGTGCGCGATCGCCATCTCCACGGTCGCGTCATCTACAGCGTCGGGCTGGATTGTTGGGATATCCAGGAAGGGTTGGACATGAGTGAACCGGTGTGGATGGGCACGAGGCCGTCCGAGGCTCTGGCCAGCTCGTTGGACGGACTGCCTTCGGTCACTAGACCTGGTACTGGGGCAGATGGACAAGGTGCGAATTGGATCTTGGATCTAGCCTGATTGGAATACCGTAACGTCGCAAAAGGCGAAGTTGGATATGCGGCTATTATGGCCTCCTAGTAGACAATCCCAGCTCGCGCAGAATTGATATTGGTAGAGTACTGAACAGGACTATGACACACCAGCAAAAACCCTATGTGGTTGGTTTTCCATCAGTAGAACCGAAAATGAACTCATTTGAAGAATAATTCATGAATTATATGATTTGACTGGCTAGGAGTGTGACTGACATGATAAAAGAACGGACTCCAAAAAATGACAGAAATGTAATTGTTCTTTCGAGTCAACTCCCCCGCGCAACTCTACGTTTTCAAAAGCTGGGACAACCCAAACCGACCCATTCCATTCCATCCCATGCTATCGTGCTCCCGGAAGATATATACAACAAAAAGAATTGTGTGAAAGTTCATAAATCCGGGAGTTTACTCGGTGGAGGAGTGCTCGTTGGGAGGAAGGTGGTACTTCCAGGTATCATAGGGAGCGCACTGGGTATAACCAGTCGGGGCACGGACGCCGCGAATGGAAGCGCCGCCGTCTGCTCTCTGCAGAGTCTTGTGACGGCAATGAATAACGTGGTCGTAGGAGATCAACTCGGTGATCAGAGGGCTCTGGTTCCTCATGGCGCGGACCAACATTTCCCAGGCGTAGATGCAGTGAGTGATGTGGTAATCTTGGGCAACATAGACGGCGTCGTGTTCACCCAGGCGCATCTCTTCCAGAGTATAAGCCTTTGTGGCCGAGGGGTCCGCGTACCAGGTCCAGTTGCCGACCTCGAGGAAACGGTTGGAAAGGACCTCGTCGAAGCAGGCGGCGGGTGTCCACAGCTGCATCATGACGTCGAAGACGCAGCCCTTTTCGCGCGCCTCTTTCGGCGAATATCCGCAGTTTTCAATCGTGTCTGCCGACGGGATGATTTGGCCGTCGGTGCTCAGCTCGGTTCCTTCGCCCAACACCACCGTGGGAAGCGTCGTGGCCCCGGTCTTGGTGGACGTGGCCAGCGCGGCGTCGGCTGCGGCGCTGGCCGTTGCGGTGGTCGTGGCTCCCGATGAGTGATATGAGACAACGGCAGAGGAGACCGTGGCCAGGACGGCGGCAATAACTGCCACGAATAGTGTGCCTGTCGCTAGAGAGAGGAGGATGGACTGTTTTCCCCATCCGGATTTCACGGGCGCCTCCTTTTCGGCGAGCGGGAACGACTCGTCGTTCGTCGACACTGAGCGGTAGTGGTGACCGAGACCCATTTTGAGGGTGCTTTTTCTATGGTTTTAACGAAGGAACAATGTTTGGTGTGCTGTTGGAAAATCTCCGATAGGGAGACGGCTCTCGAGTGGTGGAAAGCCGCGTAGGGAGTGCTGGTGGTGAAATCGGTCGCGGGGAAGAAGTGAATAATAACGTGTGTTGTCGTGCCCCGGCGATTGGGAGGGTGAATTCAATTGAAATGGAGGCGTGAAACGAGTGTGATGGCGCGGCGGGTTGATGGGAGAGGAATGAAGTGGAAGTTGTTGATGGAGGGATGAGAGGATGTTTTTCAAACCTGCTCAGCTGCGCCGTGCCAGTGGCTTCAGGTTACTAATAATTACCGTCGAGTCTGTGTCGCTGGTGAGTGGTTCTTTAGCTGCGGCAGAGGCGGCCAGAGCCCGTGGTTATACTTGTTCGGGGAGCAGTTGGGGCTTGTCAGGCCTGCGATCAGGGGCAGCAGATCGAGGCCTAAACATGGCACTAGCACTGGAATGGGTACCGCGTCATTGTTATGATTGGCAGAAATGCAGCTGTAGTGCCGCTAGTACCACTAGCAGCAGTAATAGAACCCCCACCGCTGATTCCCATTCCTTCCGACTGCCAGTGCCACTGCCACTGCGTCCCTCTCGCGTGGCCTGCGTCCAATCTCGACTCGGCGGGCATCATGAGACGCCAGCGATCAACTGTTACCTGTTACCTGCGCTTTACCCGCTGCAACTCGTCTGTCACCTGAGAGTGAGCCTCCTTTTTACACAGCCATCACCTGTCGCCCGCAATCATGCAATTTTACTTGCTGCCTGTCAATTTGCGCTTACAGGCTTGTACAGGACCTGGAACAGTGTATTGCTTGCCACCCATACGCTACTACTGTGCAGTCCACCACGCCTAAACCTGGCCTATAACGATCGCCAGTCTTCAATAATAATGCTACGGCACTCGAATTTTCGGGCTTCAGCCCTGAAGCATCGGGATCGTAGGTAATTTTGTACCTGCGTCCTGCGTCCTGCGTCATACCCTTCGACTTTTCTCCGGTGGTTCTCTGTGGTCAAACTGCGGGGCCGAAGCCGAAGCTGCTCCTCAGGACCACTTGTATCTTAGGAGAATATTGTTTGTACTTCTGCGCAGGCATGGTCGGTTCTTTTGTGCGGTAGCCTAATTGATGAGTGAACCTGCTACTACCTTACTCGTAGCTACCTAGGTAACTAGGTAGGTGCCTCATAGGCTGTTCAGCTCTTCAGCCACAGCGATCAAGGCTCTCTGCAGTGCAGCCTGTGGCAGGCAGACACCAAAAGGACCAATCACTGGTCGTTCGTCTTGGTGTTGTAGGCACCGCTTGAGAATCTCCAAGGCTTCTCATCAGCCGTTCTCTGGTCGCATACCGCCTGGTCGGCGGTTGTGAAGATACTTAATGCCAACCGTGTGCCTTTGACTTTGGGAGAGTAAATTGCCATTCAACGACATACTATTTTGGAGTGGTACTGCTCACTTCCATACCTTTAAACGCTTATTAGGTCTGGCACCGTCTCAGTCTCATTTACTGCTACATTGAAGATGGGGAAGCTCACCACTGCGCGCACCCCGCCCACCAGAGAGGTTCCATCGACTTTCCCGCGGATGGACCCTCCTCCGCCCTACGAGGCATCATCGCGCTCATCTTCCATCCATAGCCACGACCAGCTACATCCACAGGGAGACCAGCCGCACTCCTCGCAGCCACAGGGACCGGCGCAACAGTTGGATGTCCACGGAGCGCGGCATGACCCGCCGCACAAGCGAAAGGAAGCCGAAGGTTGCTGCACGTATGGCGACGGCACGCAAGGCTGTATGGTGTGTGGAGATCATTCCGAAGGTGCGTTGACATACTGCTGTCCTGCTTCTTGTACTTGTCCTTATCAATGGACCAATTCTAGGCTGCATGAACTGTGGTGACCATTCCGAAGGTGTGTTGACATGCCGCTGTCCTGCATCGTGTACTTGCCCTTACCAATTGACGCATTATAGGCTGCATGAACTGTGGTGACAATACAAGTGGATGGTAAGTGTCCAAAGTCCGTATTGTAGAGATCAATTGCAGCTTCAGCTTCGTTGCAAACAACGAGCGCTTATTGAGGCAAGCGTGTCCATCTTCCTGGATGGACAGGTTGTTGTGTACTCTCAACTCCTGTCATGAGTACTAATCTATCTATCCACAGTATGAGCTACGAATCGCGCGATGGGTGCATGCTATGGAGAGCAACAAACGGCGGGTAGGTCGATGTGTTGATAAGCTGTCCAAGCCTACTAATCATGCTTTGTCAGATGCATGAACATCAACACCAACAAGCAGGGCTGTTGCCAGTGCGGGTGACACCTGATGCTACGCAGATCTGGGGGCTATCTCACGATCGGCCCCAAATAACGACACGTTTGGCGCATACTGGGGGCTCTTTTTTGTACATAACTATAATACCGATCCGTTTTCGGCAACTTTTTCTGGACACTGTTTGTTTCGGTATGCACTTGTGCTCAGTACAGAAGGCTATACTGCCCCGGATTTATAATCTGCAATGTACAGTATAATCAGGCCACCAGTGACAGACATAGCGCCTGGCTCCGGTTCAAGCCCTCCCATTGGCTACAGATGGCGTTAGTCATCCTGTGAAGGGGCAAGGCTCCTGATGTTTGGCTCCGGGGAACAATATCACTTATTGCTCTATAACACCCTCAGTCCTTGATCTGATCTCGGAGATGGAACCAAATGATGCCGTCGATATACGGTGAGCGAGTTTCATCATCTATATAAGAGCCTTGAAGATACAGTGTCGACTAATCAACATGTCTTCTCACACGAACACCTCCATTCCTCCATTGTATACAGTTCAAAGACCCGTCCAGCACCCAGCCTTCTTTCACAATCTCAACTTTTACCCACCGTGACAACCATGTCCCAGATCCCCAAAACCATGAGGGCAATTAAGCTCACGGCGCCCGGCCAGTTTTCAGTCGCGGAGATTCCGACACCACAAGTGCAAGCCGGCTCGGTTCTGATCAAGGTGGAGGCGGCCATGGTTCAACCGCAAATACGCAACATCTTGAACGCGGTGGTGCCGCACTTGAGGCTGCCGTACCCGGTGGTGCCTGGGTCCAACGCGATCGGACGCGTGGTCGAGGCCGGGCCGGACGCGGTGGTGCTGGAAAAGGGCCAACTGGTGCTCATCAGCTCGTCTGTGCGGGCGCGTGACGACCCATCGGTCCAGGTGGTCTGGGGCGTTTCGGCAGCAGGATTCGGCCAACGCTCCGAGCAGCTGTACGCCAAGGTGGCGCGCAACGGGTCATTTGCAGAGTACCTGCTGGCGCCGCTGGAGAACACGTGTGTCCTGGACGAGCGTCGACTTCTGGGCGGCGGGCTAGGCTACAAAGTGCCGGAACTGCTGCATCTGTCGGCCGACGCGGTGTCGTACGCAGGCCTGCGCAGCATCGACCTGCAAGCCGGGGAGCGGATCATCGTCACTCCCGCCACGGGCTTCTTCAGCACCAGCGCCGTCGATGTCGCCGTTGCCATGGGCGCGAATGTCGTGGCCGCCAGCCGCAACGGCGACTATCTCGCCCGCCTCAAGACGGTTCACCCGGAGATCGAAACCGTTCGATTGACGGGGACGGATTTCGATGCAGACAAGAAGACCCTCGCGGCGTTTGGGCCCGTTGATGCCGTCGTCGACATCTCCCCGCCATCCGCTACGGGGTCTAACAACCTCGCTGCTGCGGTTGCCACCTTGAGGCCTTACGGTCGTGTCTCCCTCCTGGGTGGCCGCATGGACCCGTCAATCCCGATTTCTTACATGGACGTCATGTGGAAGAGTCTCAAGATCCAGGGCAGTCTGATGTACACTCGTGAAGACCAGCTGGGCGTCATCAAACTGGTTGAGTCGGGTCGGTTGAAGCTCGGCAAGGCTGGTGGCCATGAAGTTGTGGCTTCGTATCCTCTGGACCGTCTGCTGGACGCCGCTGATCATGCGGACAAGGCTAACAAGTTGGGACAATTGGTTTGTCTTGAACCCTAGACAGGGAAACAGTCTTGGCGTTGGAATTTCGCTCTACACTTTTGGTACTTTGGTGACTGTGCATATTCACGGAAGAGACAATAGAAGAAAGGGGGGCATCACTTCGGTAGACGACCGTTTCTGGTCGGGTACCTAGCTAGAATTGATCAAGCAGTAGCATGGAAGTGTTGTTTCTCATTTCTTTTTTCCTCCCCCACTCATTTGCCTCTTTAAGCTGCCGACCCTTAGTAACATCAAAAGCAAGAGGGAAAGTAAGCCACCACCGACCTTGGGTTTGATATGGCGGTGAACGTGCATCTGATGGTGACATTGGGACCTTGCAGTAGTAGTACTCCGCAGAGAGGTAAATACCTAGGTACATACATAAGACATACTGATAATTTAGTTACTTGTACCATGCAGGTGATCACAATTAGGTATCCAGGTCCTCAGTTTCGATACCCTTGATGCGCTGTAGCCCAGTTTGTGCTTCCTGCATTGCATGCCTTGATAGCAACTACATACATAGTGATTAAATGTTATGTACAATGCAGTGAGGTTCTGATGGATCTTATTATACCACCGCCTGCTCCACCGAAAGTGCCAGCGCATCAATCACTCGCGTTGCACCATTTTTAGTGCTCCGAGGTGCTTGTATACGTACTGCAGACAACTGCAACCCGACAGTACCTTAGGTACTTCTCCCAGTCTCATACCACACTTACTTCCTCCATCACTTCGACGTTGGGCAAACCAGGGAGTTCGCGAAAAACTTCAGATATCAGGCTGACATTCTACGACCACTGACCACTGCGCCTTAGAAGCACACTCCCCTCCGAGTCTGGAATAAAACCACCCCTCCAGAACCCCAAGCCCCACACCCGTTCAACACCCATCTCCCCTGACTCGCGAATATACGCAACTGTCGTGCTTGCCAATGTGCCCTGGTATATCAAGTACCTTGGTACAAAGTACCATCATGGCGGCTTCTTCAACGTCACAACCAACGCAACCATCACCCCGTTCCTACGACTACATCATCGTAGGCGGCGGGGTGGCCGGCCTAACGCTGGCATCGCGGTTATCGAAACTGCTCAGCTCAGCAAACAGCGACAACGCCGACACCACCAGCCCAAACATCAACACTAACACAAACACTGCCAAACGGATTCTCGTCCTAGAAGCCGGCACCGACCCATCACAAACCGACTACATCGTCTCAGCGACAGGATACAACCAAGCCAAGGAGTCCGAATACGCATACATTCTGGACGTGGAGCCGAACCCACATCTCAACGGCCGCAGCGGCAAAGTCAGCGTCGGCAAGGCACTGGGTGGAAGTGGCGCGATCAACGGCAGCGCGTGGACCAGGGGCCCCAAGGCCGACTACGACTACTGGGCCAAACTGGTGGGTGACGACGACTGGTCGTATGACAAACTATTACCATTCTTTCAAAGGTTGGAACATATTGTCGAAAACTCAACAGAACAGCAGAGAGACGAACTCCATCATGGATACGATGGAATCTTCAAGGTCGTGCCGATCAGAGCAAACCACCCTAAGCGACATTACCCTCTTCGAGAAACGATCCAGAAGGCGTGGGAAGAGGCCGGAGTTCCGTATAAGCCGGACGGCAATAATGGCAACCAAAACGGCTTGACGGAAATGGTTGAGCTGTGGGTGGACGGCAAACGTCAATTACCCAGTCAAGTGCTTGATCTTTCGCGTGTCGAGATCCGTCTGTCGACTCGTGTGCGGCGCGTCATACTCGACACCTCGGTGGCAGGGGAGCCCGTGGCAACTGGCGTCGAGCTCGTAAGCGGCGAGCGTCTTCCTGCGAATAAAGAAGTCATTCTCTGTGCTGGTGTCTACCATAGTCCGCAGATCCTGATGCTCTCGGGAATTGGTGACCTTGCGGTCTTGCAACAACATGGCATCCAGACAATCGTTCCAAATGTCGAAGTTGGCAAGAATCTCGTAGACCATCTAGCCATCGGTATGACTTGGAAACTGAAGCATCCTGAGAAAGGGCTGGCGTTCGGATCGCCTTTGTTGACTGATCCGTCGTATTTTGCCGGCTGGCCCTTGGACTTTATGGAGTTCGGCCAGTTGGACGAACCCGACAAATTGGTTCCTTTGATCAAAAGCGCTGAAGAGCGAGATTTCTTGCTTCGTCCAGGCACCTCGCACATGGAAATCGTCACTTTGTACGCCCCCATGGGTGCAAAGTTCGTGGGCATCGACGCCGCCATGGATGGAAGCCATCTGAGTTCAATTGCCGTGTGTTTGGCTACCACGTCCAAAGGAAGCGTGACCATCCGCTCTGCCAATCCGGAAGATCCACCTGTCATCGATACGAATTCCAACGCCACAGAAACAGACCGATATATTTCGCGCGAGGCTCTGCGGAAAGTGGCATCTGTTTATCTTGAGACCGAGACTGGAAAGTCTCTCATTTCGCATGAGGTCACCCCGCCTGGTTACGCGGCAATCACACATGATACCCCGGATGGAGAAATCGACAAGAGAATTCGAGATTTCGGGTACAGCTTGGATCATCCTATGGGGACTTGTTCCATGGGCAAGGTCGTCGATAGTCATTGTCGGGTCAAAGGTGTCAAAGGGCTTAGAGTTGTCGATGGAAGCGTGATTCCCCTTCCGCTCGCATGTCACATCCAAGTAGCTGTGTATGCGATCGCTGAAAGAGTGGCCGAGTGGGTAGCAAGAGGGGAGTAGTAATAGTATAGACTGCCGCCAAGACTGTTGGCATTAGATTTCAATTTCATGCATCATCGCTGGTCTAAGCATAACTAGTGCTTCGTCTGATCCGTCTTCTCTGTATTCTTGGGTGACGACACTGTGCTGTTTGCGGGCGGGCGCGCAGCAGCGACAACTGTCGGCGAATTCTTCGAGCCACCTGGAGGACCAGCCTCAGAGGCGGGTACAGTTTTATCTGCACCTTTTGCTGCATCTGGTGGAGGTTGTTTCGGTGGGTCGTTCAACTTGACCCAAAAGTCAGGATAGTTCGCTTCGGCGTCGTTTCTGGCATCGCGGTACGCCTTTCTGATCTGTTCGAGGACCTCGTGTTCAGTGCCTTGACCGGGATAAGTTGGATCGCGAAAATTAGCTTCGGCATCGTCGAGTTGCTCGACAACCTTTGCCAGATCGTTTCGGAACTGTCGAGCTCGATTGGGTTGGTTTCGAGACTTGAAATAGGTTATCACGCCTGCAATTACCGTGTTGGCAGCTCCAAGGCCTATGGTGGCTCGTCGAGCCGCGACGCTGTCGAACGCCCCCAGCACGGTTAAAGAGGCAGCAATGACGATTTGAAGAAAGAGGAGTGCATTCGAGACCGTGGCCACCAACCAGTACTGCCATGTATGGTGTTTGTATGATCTGACAACACGGTGTCGTAGAGTCTCGTAGGGCTGGCCATCTGAGTTGATTCAGCCAGGAGCTCGGGTCAAACAGCATGCTAGTGGAAGGCATTTCCCTTACCTGTACCTGCAATTGCGCCAAAGAAAGTGGGAACATGGACATCGGCAGGAGTGTGATTTTGCACTGTTTTCCCGTGCTGATCCTTGGGGCCTGGAGGAGCAAACTGGACGTGCGAAGAATTTGTTCCAGATGTTGCGGCTGGAGGTACTGCCGCTGTCAATGCTGTTGTCCCAGTTTTGGCCGTCTCTTCAGTTGCACCTGTTGGCGGCATAGTCCCATCTACATTTCGGTTGGATTGTGACGGTTCTGGCCCGGTGTTTGGCAGGCTTCCATGCTGTCCATCAGGAGCTTTTACTGTTTTGGTCGGGGACCCCCCCGTAATTTTGACCTGGGTATCCATTATGTTAGCCGAACGCAATAAACTATCACTGGGAAGACTTGAGCGTGTAGTAAGACAAGAGGAAGATTGCTTCAACTGGGGCTGATGTGGGAAGGTGGTCTGTTTAACACCGCCATAGCACAGCATTAAAGCGTGTGACCATGACAAAAGTATCAGTTGCAAATGACCAACCTACCAAGTTAGTCTGTGTTGCTCAATGTTAGCAAAAGACGACTACCGATGGTCTCTCACAGTCGAGAAGGGCTCATTCGACGAGAGAAAGGAAAGCAACATGGTTAGCGAGGTTGGGGAGTTTCATCTGCGCCAGCCACCTTCCGTACGGCTGAGCCATTCTAGATCGGTTCTTGCAGGGGCGCCCATGTTGGTCTGGGGTTCTGTCACTTCATCGACTGATAAGCCGACTAGGTATCTACACGGTGGTGCCTTAACAAGGGATTGACTGAAAGGTTAAGAAACTCGAAATTGGCTGCACACCAAGAACACCCTAAATCAACCAACATTTCGTCTGACCAAAAATCAGGCGCAAATGATGCCACCTTTGCTCCCAAGAGCAGTCAGACAAAAAGTTCCCCCGTTACCATATTCCAATTCAGTCCGCACTCGATTTTCTTGTTTCTCCCTTTCAATCCCTCCATTGACCTCCCTAGTCTCTCTTCATCTACCACTTCCAGTCCACCTTCTCAGCAAACTCCTTCCAAGTATTCTTCTTCGTTCCCGGGAGTAAGAACCTATCACTCTCCGCCTGCTTCTTCTCCGTCCCCTTGCCATAATAACTGTAATCCCTAATCAGGATCATATTCTGAGTCAGCTCTTCAGCGATACGGTTGCCCAGCTGTGCAGCCGACTCAACAGTCGCAGGCTGTTCGACGAAACGCACTTCCTTCCCCTTGATCTGGGACAATGTATCGGTGATTTGTCTCGGGTGAACCCACTCACTCACACCTTGGACATAGACACCATTGGCCTCCGCTCCAGCCTCAAAGAGGCCTGCGGTGAAAGCACCAGTATCCTTCTGGATATCGATCATGGGCACCCAGGTCTCCGTGGGGTTCCAAGGTGCACTCAAGGTAGGCACACCTGTTTCCGGGTCCGGGTTGATCATACTGGGCAAGTTGGACATGAAGTAGCCGGGCATGAAGTACGAGACGATCATATCTTCTCCCTTGACCTGCTCGGCGTATTCGGCCACTTCGGCCTTGGAGTCGAAATGTTCCACCTTGGCCAGATGGCCATCTGTTAGTTTGGTGACGTTGGGTAAGGAGGACCAGACGAGATGTTTGATGCCTTGTTCCTTGCATGCGTCCACGATGTTCTTGCCTTGTTGGAACTCGCCCTCCTTGGACATTTGCTCCCAGTAGTTGGTGACTGCGAAGACGCCGTAGGATCCTGCGATGGCTGACTTGACGCTTGCGAGGTCGGTCAGATCTGCTTTGGCCAGCTCGGCGCCCTTGGACGCTAATGCTTGAGCACTCGGCTTGGATGGGTCGCGGGTGATGGCGCGGATCTTGTACTTCGCCGACAATTCGGGGTTGTTTAGTATTGCGGACAAGGTGCTGCCGCCTTGGTTGCCAGTGGCTCCGAATACTGTTATGATCTTTTGGGCCATTTAGCGTGAGAATCTGTGAGATGATGCCGTTTGGAAGACTTCTAGAAATGGTGACCTGATGTTGCAGTATTGATTGCGTTGCTGGATGTATGCTACTTTGGACTCTTCAAGAGGGAAGACCTACCATTTATATACATACTTTCTAGTACATGTCTCAGCTGAAAGGCTAGGTACATGTCCTGGAAAGTATATTCTGCTCGCTAGAAGCATTAGGTAAGTGGTCCCTCAATGATCAGGCGTCCGATATCTGGAGAAGAGAGAGCGTTAGTCAGCTCGCTAAGTTGCTCGCGCTTTCGGCCTTTTAGATCTGAGAGGATGATGACCAACAATGCGGCTTATCTATCATGATCCATACGTCCGATCTCCGTCCGCTAGTAGGAAACCATGATCTGGTCCACTGCCAGTGTCTTTGGTACCTAGAATGAGGGGGTAGGCACACGTGCATGAATGGCCTGGGGCAGCACGGTCTCGACGTACGAACGCTGACCAATTTCTTCGTGGTAGACCATCGACGTCTCTGGGAATTCGGCCTCTTTTCTATCCGAAGTCCTTGCTTGGCTTATGTGACCTGGTAGGTACTCTGTGACTAAGATACAAGTCATACCAAGGCCTGGTACCGTGTAGGTTGGTATGATGCAATTGTCAAGTCGTGCCCACCCTTAGACCACCCTTAGATGGAATGAGGTAGGGATAGCTGCTGGTGTGAAAAGGCGGCAAGCGGGTGCGCCCCTCGCCGATAAGGTCGAGATTCTCTTCTGGATGACAAACTCATTCTGTGATCATAGGGAGGGTACAATTTACCATGGACCAGAAACTCACAAGGGAGGATGGCCCCACCAGGAAACCAGAAAAGCCTCGAGCACCCGAGTTTTGACGCTGGCGGCATGTTCAGACACACTTACTGCGCTGACCTCACGAGGTTGGCCCGATATCAATCACCGGAATAGCAAGATAGAGGAGAAGACGGGAAATCAAAGAGAAAAGGAGGGAAGTTTACTAGTACTGAGTGAGGTTTTCATGTTTTTTTGTGGTTTATCTGTTTTCTGTTTCTTCATGTCAACCACGCCCGAGGTGACCCCGTTCGGTAAATCGCGACTCTCAACCATCCATCCAACACGAGTCGTAGATGTCAACGGCAACATCAAGGTCAATATCGCAAAGCACAATCCTCCGTGAACCCGGCTCTCGCGCCTCCTGACAACCATCCACCACCGGATTCCGCAGTTCCTGAGCTGCAGTAGACGAGGCAAGTGACGGCCAACTAAAGCTGATCCCAACCACGAGTACATACATTTTCCATCCATGAGCCTTCACCACCGACAAATCCCAAGCCTGAACTTCGCTCGCTACCCAAGTTCCGCTTCCTGCACCTCCCACCAGAACCCCCAATGGACAACGGCAGCCACCATTTAGACCAAGTGTCCCCCAACACTCAACGGCGCAGCAGATGTGACGGGTCTGCATACGCACTATGGCTACCGCTGTCCTCAACATCTAACACCACCACCACCACCACCACCACCACCCTGGCCCCTAGCA